AAACAAACTTCCAGTACCAAATGGCTGTGAAGAACTACCAAATCCATTTCTCATAGTAGATGGCTGTGGGGAACTCCCGAACAAACTTTCACCAGTTTTTCGCTGTGGAATATTCCCAAACAAACCTCCAGTAGCTGGTGACTGCGAGGAACTCCCACACCCACCTCCCGTAGTTGATGGCTGCGAGGAACCCACAAACAAACCTCCAGTAGTAGATGGCTGCGAGGAACTCCCAAACAAACCTCCCATAGTTGATGGCTGCGAGGAACTCCCAAACAAACCTCCAGTAGTAGATGGCTGCGAGGAACCCACAAACAAACCTCTAGTAGTAGATGGCTGCGAGGAACTCCCAAACAAACCTCCCATAGTTGATGGCTGCGAGGAACTCCCAAACAAACCTCCAGTAGTAGATGGCTGCGAGGAACCCACAAACAAACCTCTAGTAGTAGATGACTGCGAGGAACCCACAAACAAACCTCCAGTAGTAGATGGCTGCGAGGAACTCCCAAACAAACCTCCCGTAGTTGATGGCTGCAAGGAACTCCCAAACAAACCTCCAGTAGTAGATGGCTGCGAGGAACCCACAAACAAACCTCCAGTAGTAGATGGCTGCGAGGAACTCCCAAACAAACCTCTCGTAGTTGATGGCTGCGAGGAACTCCCAAACAAACCTCCAGTAGTAGATGGCTGCGAGGAACCCCCAAACGAAAATCCTCCAGTAAATCCAGACCTAGAAGACTGATTTTGTTGTTTAGCAGAATTTTTTCCAAACATCACTTATTTCTTGTAGGATAAAATTTGCAAACAGTTGTGAAGCTTTTTCAGTGTATGTGTCTTCCTCTCCCTATATATGAGACATTAAAATTAGCACATAATCAGACATTTAGAAAGAAAAAAGTGTCACTGGAAATGCAACTTGGTTATTTTGTGATAATAATACACCAGTGAATTTTATGGGGGCATTTAGGACCTGATGTCATACCAGTACTCCAGACTGGATTCCATGGCAGGTGCACGCCTGAGAGCGCTAGCGCTCCGCAAAAATGCACGCGAGCGAATTCAATTTTGCACGCCGAAAATTTGCAATTGCACCAAAGTAAATCGGTTTAAATTGTTTTAAAATCAATAATCCAGTAATATAAAGATGCCAAAATATTATAACTTCACAATTGTCGACTAATACTAGCTTGCAAAATTTGGTCTGATCGAAAAATGCGAAGCAAAAAAGACCATATCGTGTTGAATGATAGGAATCCGTGAGAATAGTTATGGACGAAAAGATCGCCTCCGCACCAACGCTGGCCAGGTATGGCTTTTATTCAGTGTATTTTTCATACAATAATTCTACACGAATGTACTGAACAGTACCGGTATCTAAAGTCGCACAAACACTCTCAAAATTAGTGACGGAGTATAAAAATACTGTTTGGGGTTAAAGGTCAAACGTCCATTTTGCTCTAAGTTGACGTATTTTTATTAATTCTACGTAAAAACACTCCCAAAATTAATGACAAAGTATGTCCATTTTGCTCTGATTCAACGTATTTTTTTATCCGATACCGGACGCGGATGTATTGAGAGTAGGGCTGGGAATTTCAGGGAAAACACTTTAACCGTTAACCGGGTAAAATTAACCGGTTAACCGCCACGTGACGTTTGACGTAATAATTTTTAATTTCAGCTTGTTACGTCACAATGATGATAAAGTAATTTTGCGTGTTCTTATCCTGGTATCGCTTATTAAAATTATTCATGAATCGAGATAGTTTCATGATTGCTCTGCTGCAAAAGATAGGCAGCGTGGTTCGGTCGTGTGGAAATATTCTAGAAAACCTATTTCAGTTGTTAAACGTCATTTATGTGACAAATTATCAGTGTTCGATGTGCAGAAAAACGGCATCAACTGCGCACTTGATGTTGACATTGAATATCCGATTTTGCAATGGAATTCGACCGAAACCTGATTCTGAATTCATCATTGTCAAATTTCCATAATCAGCAATCTCGGTACTTCCATTATTTTTCACATTTATTGAGTCCTTACCCACACAGTTAGTAATATTCTTTTGAATTAAATGCCACAACAGATAAATTTGCGATGACGTAATCATATTTCTGTATTTGAAGAAATTGTACGGTATGAAGATGATTTGTACCTGAGATGTCAGTTAACGCTGTAACGGTTAAAATAAATCGTAACCGTTAACCATCTGAAATCGGTTAACCATTCCCAGCCCTAATTGAGAGCTTTCTAATGGCAAAGTCAATTGCACGCGTGCGCAGTTGTTTTGCACGCCGTGAGCTATAATTGCACGCCAGGAATTTTTACACACAGGAATTTCTGATTGCACGCCCGATTTCTCGTTCAAAAAGGCCATGAAATCCAGACTGGCCAGGACTGTGTAGCGTACTATCAGTCTATGTATTAATTTTCTCAGTTTGAAATACCTTCTTATATAATATGATGTCAATCTTTTTCCTAAAATTTATTTCTATCTGTGCTATTTTAATCTTATTTACTAACTATCGATCTGAAACTTAATACAACCAAATACTTTGGTTAATACAATAAAACCAACAGAACACAAAAGGCCCCCATGAAATAACAAACACAAGGCATCACAATGCAAGAAACAATAGACACAACCGAAAACTGAAAACAAACCCTGGTACCAAGGACAACCTCAAAATTCGTCAGAAAACTCAAAATCCAGCACACCACAACCACCAAATAATCATTAGCAAGGTAGGTAAAAACAACTCTCTTTTTTGCCAAATATTATTCCATATCCAATGTGGAAATTTTTATATTATAATTGGGAAACAATCGCATGTTTTACATTATGAGACGCCACTGTTTCAGGTTTGTCATTTCATTCCAATGTTGCCACAATCAAGCAAGGTTGGGTTGTGGGCGTGAGGTTTCAATCAACGGTCCTTAAACCTGCGAGCAAGTCGCTGTGGAGCTGCACTCGTTAGTAGGGAGTTCCCCGTAACAACGACGGTGGTTTCTATGCCAACAGGTATCATCCATACCATGGAAAATGGTTCAATACCAAGATTATATTGATTTGAACATTTTTGTAAGTATATATTCCTAATTTATTTTTTCTGCGTGTAGTTGCAATCAAAGCATAATGTAATAGAAATGTTTTCTGTCGATTAATTATCATTTATTTTATTACTACATCTACAGGATGGAAGCAATGCCAAAATACATGGACATGAAGCTCTTTATGGTAAAATTCTTAGTAGGATCATAAGACCAAAAATTCCAACTTGAAGCTCTCTAGCAGCCTGGTGGTGCTCGAAAGGTGCTCAAAATATGAAAATGATTAGACCTTTAGTTGCTTAGAAAATGAGTTTTTTCACAACACAACTACGTAGCAATATGAACACACAAAATTACTTTATTTCTAAATTTCATTAGATATGGATATAGTATAACATTAACTAGTACCTCAGACAAGTTAGCCGTTGAGGTTTGGGTAACCGCTGATCTATTACGCCTTCTGCCATTATCAAGATTATTCTCATATCTGACATGAGCTAGTAACCAGATGAGAATCCGTGGTATACCATATAATTAATGCTTATCGGCTTTCCCCTCTCCTGGGATTTCCGGTCCTATACCAATGCAACTTGACTGAGCCATCTAAATTTTGAGTCATTGAATGACATATTTTTGATCGCAGAAACTTTAGTCTTTGCACTTTTTGTTCCAGTTTCGGGTTTCAATTTCAAATTCAATATTCTCAAACTTCAAGTACAAAATGTTAACTTGGAAATGTTATGATAGAATTCAGTCCTGCAACGGCTGCGAATATAGTAGTTGTGTACTGACTGCATTGCAAGCCAAGATTTTACCTTTTATTCTAGGTTGAAAGCAATTTATTGATATGTAGATGTTTATGTAAGTTGCTAACCATGAGAGCGTTCATCTAATCTAGCCCCTCACACATTTGACTTCAGTTTTTCAAACTTCGGGTCAACGTAAATTTTCTGCCCAGGTATTCACAGACAAACGTCTGCAAAACAATATTATGATTCCCACTAGCAGTGCTGACTGAACGCCAGTAAAAATTATTTCAGTGATTGACTACTGTATCAGGACCTCTAACCAACACTGTCTGCTAGTGATAAAGGGTTCATCGATTTTTCATTACTTATATAATATATAAAAGAGTGTCCATAAAACCTTGAAAATTTTTGAAATTGCAAAAGAATTTTATGGGTACCATATATTGTTCACCCCACAGATGTATCAAATGAAGTAAAAATGACTAATTACTGATAAAAAACAACAAACCTAGTTAAGATATATTGAGAACTCACTTCATAACAAAATTGAAATTGTAAAGGAAATTTATGGACACCCTATATTTTCTCCCTCAGTTTCAAGCTTCATGCCCACCATCTACCCTAAGGAGAAATGGGTAGGCAATACCGAACCAGAAATATTCCACTGCCAGCATAAAATATCTCGCTTATCAGTGAGTCTTGATTGGATTGAGGGCCAAAAAGCTGTGGTAAAAATGAATCTGAAGCCATGGACTTTCTAATAATGAAAAAAGCACAATCGCATATTATCCTGATCAAATTTATTGAAATCATTATAATAAGAAATCTTCTACCATAAATTAAAATCTAAATAAACAATCAATCCCAAGAAATTTCTAGGCAAAAAATGAAATATTGCTTGCTATTCATTACTACTATTTTCCATTGTAAACAAATATCAAGAGGTGAATGATCCTATGTTTGATGTGGATTCAAGTTACAGATTTGCCACAGTGATTGGACTAAACGAAATATGCATAGCATTATTAAATCAATATAAAATATTAGGGTATTTCCATGAATAATAGCCTGCAATGCAAAAACGTATACAAGTTTTACGATAGTCGTCAATCAGCAAAAATATAGAATAATTGTAAAATCAATGTTAATATTGATGAAATATTCCCAATATAATGCTATTTTGAGGCAAGCATACCTAAGAATATGAGAATTTTACTGATGAAACAGAGACAAAATATATGTTCGACCTGTTTTATAAAGCTGCAACCCTATCTTGATTGGGCCATGAAATTGCAGAAATATATAAATAAATTAAAATAAGTTCTGTCTAGGAGCTAATGAACAAAATATGCATATGTTACAAAATCCATCTAACACGATAAGAAATTATTTGTATATAATACAGAAAAGCCTACATCGATGTGTGAGTGATCAAGGTGATTATAATATATAATAACATAATAAATAATTTAATAGTTTTTAGATAGAAATAAAATTTGCAATGCTAGCAGAGCAAGAAAAATCAACAACTCATACTGATAAATTATAACCTAATTACCATAAAAATAACATAATCTCTTCAATACTATCTCATATTCTTGGGTCAACGGCTACATACATTAGACATATCCGAAGTAAACAAGGAGAAAGGACCTACAGTTCAATTTACTATTTCCTAGTACTATCCGCATTAATTTCTAGTTAATTATTTATTATATACAAAACAAATAATGGTATTAATGAAGCCTATTTAAGTGGATGAATAATTTGGTATTTATTTTTTCTTCTCTGCCATTCTAGCTTTCAAACTTGAAGCTGCAAGCAGAAAAATTATGGCATTCTGGTATTTTCTTCTGGACAGTTGTTGCCTGTGGAAGGACTTTCAATGTCATCCATTGGTTGCAAATCTTATCATAAGCATACAAAGTAGCCTGTGACGAAGTTTTACTTAAAACAATCAATTTCCCATCAGCAACGAACAAGCATGCTTTCTCTGGTGCTGAACCTGGAACCATGCTTACATCATGCCATTCAGAATCTTGTTGACTGAACCGTCTCAAACACTTCGAACCAAATTTTGCAGCATATATATCGCCCATGAAAGAAGAGACACTTAATTCCAGACTGACTTTTTCCTCCTCTTCATCATCATCATCATCATCATCGTCATCATCATATAACTCATCATCATCAGAAGTGTTATGTATCCTCCTCCTATATATGCTATGCCATTCTGTTCCATTTTCATTCAGCACCCTAGTCTCCTGCTCTCCTTGAATTGCATATATATCATTACCAAGAGTTGCCACATCACCATCACACACAGGAAAATCCATGTTCCATATGTCATTTAAAGTGTTATAACAGCATGAAGCATCTTTAGAAATGAAGTAAATCATATTTTTGAACACAGCAACTTTTGAGTGCGGTGGAACACCTTGTACTACTGTTTTTCTTATCCATTTGTTGTTGGTACCAAGATAATAAATGCCTGTGGTATTAAATAAGCACAATTTTCCATTAAATGAAAATATTCTTGACCCTGTGCCTGTGGGTATGGTTGGAATTTCAAGACTTGACTTATTTTCATCAAGACGAAATGAATGTATTAGACCATTTTCTGACAAAGCAGCAATGCATTCAGTTTGGGTGTTGTAGTTCTGTTTGGTACTGAGCAAACCATCCATTAGTATGGTCATGCATTCTGGTGAATTTTTAACCAATGGCTCTTGCCTCACTGTATCCTGGATAAATTGTTTGGGTAACTGGCTGAAATCCACATTCTTCATCATCTCAGGAGCCAAGACAATTCGATCAGAATTATACTTCAGCCAGTTGATAATTGCATTCCATCTCAATTCTTCTGAAGCTAAACACTGAATGTTCTGAGCTCCAATAATCATTAAAACATCTTTTTCCACTAAATTAACGAATTCGTCTTGTGTCAGAACTTGTTCATATTGATCAATCAAGAATTTGTCAATAATATTTTGAGCCTCTCTTGTAATATATTTATATTCATTGGCGAGTTGCCTTACTATGAAGCAGTTCTTGATGTTCAAGTTTTTTTCGAGCTCACTTGTGCTTGAAAAAATTCTTGTGAGGAAAAGATCTAATCGTTCTGGTGAATCTGCTGTAACCAGAGAATCATTTGCAAAACTCTGAAGTAGATTCGCTGATGGAAATTGAACCAGCTTAATGAGTTTCATCAACTCATCCATGTATTGACTTCTTTCACTTTCATTGTATTTGATCCATGATTTCAAAGCTTTCCAGGCAGCTTCGTCATTATTTGCAAAATTTGAAACAAAACTAAGTAGATTATCCAATGATTTCAAGGCAAATTCTTCTGTTTCAATGACGTCATAAAAATTATTTCTGATGCAAAGATCAACCTTTTTTCGAAGATTATCACACGAGTATATCTCAAGTACACCAGAAATTTTAAAACAATTTTCTGAATTTAAACTATCTTCAATTTTTTCGAAACATTTTTCTGTCAGTTTCTCTAGTTGCATTAAACTTGCAGCATGCAAGATATCCCCTGCTGTATCGACTGTAATATCAGCATTGCCAGAATACATATAATCTATGCATTCTTTTACAGCCTCAGCTTTGACATCCTCCATATAAACAGCACTTTCTTGACGCTCCTTTGTATCATGCTTGAACATAGATCGAAAATACTCTGAACATGCAGCCAAAACCGCACGATGAACAATAAAAGATTCATCCCCAACATTGATGGTGAAATCACGAACAATATCTTGGTCTTTGAGATCACACAGAGATGACAGGACTAGATCTCCATGACTTGGCTCACTAGCTCGGACAGCTATACCACTGAAAGGCAACTCCAATCCAGTTGACTGAGTTGAAGTGTCAGTAGTAAGTGGCCTTGAAGAACATTCCCCTAATGAACTTGCTGTAGTACGTGGCCTTGAAGAACTTTCCCCCAATGACCTTGCTGTAGTAGATGGCCCTGAAGAAATACCCAACGGACTTGGAGAAGATGATGGCTGTGAAGAACTTCCAAACCCACCTCCAGTAGAAGGTTTCTGTGTATAACTCCCAAATGAAGATCCTTCAAACCCACCTACAGTAGAAGATTTCTGTGTAAATAAAGAACTTCCTAATCCACATTCAGTAAAAGACGACTGTGAAGAACTCTTAAACGAAAATCCAGTAGCAGATGGCTGTGAGGAAATCCCAAATTGTGGAACCCCAAACGAAAATCCTCCTCTAGATCCAGACCTAGAAGACTGATCTTGTTGTTTCGCAGGCTTTCCAAAACTGAATGCCATCACTTATTACCTTTAGGAAAAATTTGCAAACAGTTGTGCAGCGTTTACAGTGTTAGTGTCTCTCTATTTATAAGACATTTAAAATAGCAAATAATATAATAACACATCTAGAAAAAAAGTATTGTTGGAAACATAACCTAGTTATTTAGTGAGATAACTAGTTAATCTACTGGAGGCATTTGCGTACTTATGAAATAATTTTAATTCCAGCCATAGCATTAAATTGTTTGCTATTTGTCAACCTGAATACCTTTACCTCAACTTTGAAATATTTATTCTTAAAAACAAATCATGAGATTGATAAAACATATTATCTTGCTTTCCTACTTCTTGATGTAAATATTTTCAAAACGTTGTATTCAAGTATAATGAGAGTCCCAAAAAAAAAAAAAATATTACATCTATGAAGTATCACAATTATGCAGAATATCAGTCTGTCTATATTAGAATTTACAGCATGCTGCTCAAACCAAATCCAGGCCTTAAATGACAACCCTACTTCAAATACGAAAGCCTTACTACAAAAAGTCAATTCATCAACTCATCAGCCTTACCTCAAATGTTGACTAGATTTTTTTAAGACCAATTTTGAATCTTTTTTTACTTTTTTTTTTGGCGTCACCTGAGACATAAACCTCACTGACAACAAAATGAGCTGACGTCCTAGTCTTTTTAAAAAGTTACTGAAATGGAAATCTCTTTATTTATTACTTTCTCATGTTTCATTATAACATTTGTTCGCATTTTAAAAATTAGTGATAAAGATGGCTTTAATCATGGATCAGCTGAAGTTAAATTTTATAAAGATTCATTTTTCACCACCGAATTCAATATATTTTAAATATTATTTTCAAAATTCATTCAACTGATGAATTGCTTGATATCGCCTTGCTTACTATTATAATGACAATAAAAGAACAAAAACTCTTAGTGCAGGCTTAATTTGAAACTAAAGGGGTAATAGTAATGCAATAACATGTTATTCAGATAAATGACACTATTCAAGTACACAGATTTTGAACACACGACCACTTGAAACTTTCTTGAATTGAGCAAAACACTAAACAATTTGTTTATGACAAAAGCTGACCAAAACCGCACCTTTCAGGTACAGGCCTCAAAAATACAATGTCCCACTCGTACTATACCTGTTACTGTATGAAATAACTCATATGAATGAATATCTAACCTTCTTCCAAAATATTATATCCACGCAAACTCAGAACATACTTTGAATCACATTTCATATGCTCACTCCAACCTTCTGTCAAAGTATTATATTTGTCACAAGCCGGAACATAGCATGAATCCAATTCACTCGCTAACTTTGCTTTTGTAACTTTTCTCAGATGGCTTTTTGGGAACTAACATTTTATATGCAATGCGTATGATTGATGCAAGTATTTTTACAAAGTACTGACCTACATCAAATCGTTGAATTATCACAATTAGGAAAATTATTTGTTATATTTCTAGCCCTTTTTTTTTCAATCAAATTCCAATGCCAAACAGAATTTCGTATTGAATTTTTAGCATTAAATCATTATAAATTAAAAAACAATTTTAATAAAAGGAAAATTTGCAAATTATTGTTTCTTGTACAGACTTTTTATTTCTATAATTTTAATCACATATACAATGAAATTTGGCAAAAAACAAATATAACATGAAAATTTAAAGAATACAAAAATGCAACAGAAATCAGAAATAAACTAAAATTCTGCTTCTTGAATCTCCCATACGTTTGTTGCCATCAAACAACTCTACCTGTTAAATTATGGAATTATTGAATTATGGAACTCTTATCAGCTGTAAGACGTCGTCAATCATTCTTACATCATAGAAACCTAATATTTATAATAGCAATCTACTGCAACATTTTCCCCGATTTCAGTTTGGCCGTGGATATAGGAGGAGGTACTTTGTTTATTTAAGTTGGTGATTCATGTGTCTTCTGTGATTGTTGATTCATACTTGGACCAAACATAATAGTCATGGTTTATCTTTTGCCTTACTTGAAATAGTGTGTGTTTTATAGTTCCTGTGGCTGCACTTATAGTGTGTGTGAAATAAATATCAGCCAATGCTTCATACTCTAACATTAATTCTTTTACATTGGTTAATCAAAAGCCTGCAATTTATTCTAAATAAATAAATCTGAACAATTTTATTTTCATATTCCTTATTACTGTATTTGTCATTTCGAAAAACAGATATTTTAAACTAATTTAAATCAAATCTCCAATTCCTATTCATCAGCCTTAATGGCTACATCATTTCTGTCCATCATACTGGTATTTGAGCCACATATTCGTTATAACAAAATGTTATCTGGAATTGCTAGCTACGGTAATTTTTTGAAGAAACTTTAATCTGCTAGTTAAGTGTTGTGGGAATCAACCTACCATTGGAAACGGTGCGTCATCAGGAGCCTTAACTGACTGGCTATTAATTAGTAATGTGTGATTTCACCAGCATTCAGCATGAAGATCCGCTGGCCATCAAACTGCATTAAAAATACCCAAATCCTATAATTAATCACTGTATAAAATTATTTGATAAATACATGATAGAATTTCCATAATTATCCTGTGGGAGAGGAAAGCTTATAATATAACTTACCGTAATCATACATGTCAAGTATGAGAATAGTTGTTTAGATACATGGATTGATGGTAGGAGTGGCCGTAACCCACCAACTGTCATGTAACTTGGCGGTGCATAATTATTCTCGATGGGATATCATGTCTCTGGGATTCGATTATCAATTGTTTCCTGGCAATCAGGTGGCAGGGCCTGCTTTACTGGAATATTGTATCATCAACATTTATCTTTGGGATTAATATAGTTCCCAATGATTGTTCAATAAGACTATTCGCCAGAAAAAATATATCAATGACCTCATTCAAATAAATTTTAGCTTATTAGCATATTTTATTTGCTTTTGTTTAGCACTACTTCAAAGTCTGATCCCATAAATCAGATAATATTTATTTTATATACATATATATAAGATTGTCACTCTAAACAATGCTCTCATCAAGCAGCCACTGCAAGATGAAAAGCTTTTATATTTTGGGAACATTGCGCATATCCAGACAGACATCCGGTTTGGCATTGCCTGCCCAAATTCTGAAATTATCGAATCCCTGAACTGGTGATACCGACGGATTTGAAAACAATATTTTAACCATGACAGCATAGTAAGTCCAATGCTTTAATCACAATGACATGGTGGAACAACTTTAGTTCCTGTAATATTTAGTATATCATATTTGCAAGGCACATCCGCCAATTTCACTCGAACTAAGCATACTTTGTTTTCTCGGAGGGTTCAAACTTAGTTCATGATTAGGAAGTGAAATTGCCCTTGTCGCTGATTGTCCAAACTAACCATTACCCAAGCACATCAAGTTAAATTATAAAACATGATAAAAGGAACAATTCAAATTAATCCAGTTTGCGAATGAATTCATAAGAAAAATATCACCCATGAAATACCTACTAAGATGGAGAATTAAGTCATGATGGGTTTTTCACTCAAGCAAGTTTGGGTTGTGGACGTGAGGTTTCAATCATCGCATGCGAGCAAGTTGCTGTGAAACTGTACTTGTTAGTAGGGTGCAGCTTTAGATGCTCAAAATATGAAATTGGTTGGAACAATAGTTCATAGAAAATAAATTTTTCCACAACTACAACAATGTACACAAGTCATATGAAAACTTTGTATCCAATTATCAAAAGTTATATGGGCCTGGTCTGAAGAAACTCTAAATTACAGATTTACTGCAGTTCAACTAAATTCATTGATTTCACTCGAATTACCAGTAATCAAACACTTGAAGTTAACCCATGTGACTTGACATCGACTAACCAACAGTGAAACTTGACTCAATAATTGATTGAGGATATTATCTACTTGTCATCCAACATTTTCTACTAGTGCTAGATTCTAGTAGTAATCATTTTTCTTCAGATAAAAAGTTTCAATACTCTGAATTATCTGTTGAAACTCTGCGTCCGTTTAATCACTATTGTTTGTTAACAATCCGTTATTTATTTAAATTCCTTTTGTCTATTCATGACATATGGCTTCAAAGAAATATATTATGAAGTCACAACTGAGTGAGCTCTCGACAATTTTGTTCTGCACGCGAAAGAATTTTGTCATTAAATTTAGTCAATTTTGGCAATCGAGCCACCCCTGTAATAGGGTGTCCATAAAATCTTAAAAATTTTTAAAATTGCAAAGGGAATTTATCGGTACCCTATATTGTTTTGGCCCTCACAGATGTATTAAATGAAGTAAATATATTTAAACAATTACTGATTAAAAAACAACAAACCTGGTTAAGATATATTGAGAATTGACTTCATAACAAAATTGAAATTGTAAAGGGAATTTATGGACACCCTATATTTTCTCCCTCAAGTTCAAGCTTCATGCCCACCATCTACTCTAGAAAAATGTGCACGCAATACCGAACACGTGAGATTCCACTGCCTAAAAAATATCTCGCTTATCCGAAAGCCTTGTTTAGCTTGAAAGACAGAAAAAGCTGTGATAAAGTTGAATCTGAAGCCATGAACTCTCTAATGAATAATGCAAAAATCGCAATTGCATATTATTGGTCTCTAATTTATTGAAAATCATTGTAATAAGATATATGCTACTATAAAATTAAAAACTAAATGGACAATCAATCACTAAGAAATTTCAGTTCTAGGCAAAAAAGTGTAATAGACAGTCTACAGTTTTCCATTACACACAGATATCAAAATTTAAATGATCCTATGTTTGATGGGAATTCAAGTTTTGCCACAGTGATTGGACTAAATGAAATATGCATAGCATTATGGAATCAATATAATACGTTATAGTATTTCCATGAATAATAGTCTAATACAAAAACATATACAAGTTTTACAATTAGTGATCAATCAGCAATAAAGATATAAAATAATTATGAAATTTATGATAACCAATATAATGGTATTTGGGGCAAAACAGACATTAAGAATTCTGGAATCTTTAAAATAAAACAGAGAGCAAATAGATATATCAAAAAGGATAAATTCTGTCTGGAAGCGAACGAACAAAATATGCATATGTTACAAAATCTATATGATACGATCATAAGAAACAATTTAGGTGGATATAATACAGCAAAGCCTACATCGATATTTAAGTTCCCAATTTAAATACAATATCACATAAAGTATACCATCCATAATGTATAAAATGCAATGCTACTTTGGGATCAAACAGTCATGTAGCAAACTGAAGAATTCAAAAATAAGAAATTCGAGAAGAGATTCAAGGATGGCTGGACAGGCCCTGCAATAAAAAGATTTAACTGCTGAGCCATTTAAATAAGCATTGTGGCATTTAAAAAATTGGGCCAAATGCGGTGCAAAAAAAATCAAGGACTCATACTGATAGATTTTAACCATTAATTTTATGAGAATAACACAATCTCTTCAATATTTATCATGACAGGACTGTTCAAAAACCATTCATTTTTGAGGGTCTCAAAAATACTGTGATTCAGTCGTGTGCGGAGGCTGGCCTCAATCCAACCCCATGCATCTGGAATAATTACCTGGTAAACTATTTTCATATCTGAACTGGGTATTACCCCTACCACTATGTTTCTGATCCGTTTTGTTTGGTCGTCAAGCTCAATTTTTCCCTGTTTATCTCGCTGACTAACAATCGCTATATTTGGAAAATTATGATAGGATAGGATTTACATATTTATCCCGGGGAGAGAAGAGACGATATGACGGCTTAACCATATGGCGAACCACGGACTCTCGTCCGGTTACCAGTCCAAGTCGGGTATGGAATTAGTTAGCCAGGTATTTGTTTTCGGAAGCATGGACTTGATGGTAGGGGAAGCCGTCACCAAGCAGCGGTTACGTGAACCACCTTAGAGCGGCTAGGAGTCCAGCAATCCTCTCGCACATGATCAGTCCCGCATGGGATTCGAACCTGCGATCCCACGAAGGGTAATCAGAGATGCGGTGGAGAGCGTATTCCCAACGCTTAGCACGATGCGCCACACCGCCGAGCCGTTGATAACCAACAATTTGGAAGAAAACAGATTGAGTGGTGGGACAATGTCAGGAAAATCCCAGGATTGATATCAGACAAAGCTGTGGCGAACCGTATAATCAAGTCGTCTCATCATCTTTCTTCTTCTCTGTGATGAATAAAATAAATCCTATGACGTACAGTATTCGCCATCAATCATTTCTACCTTCATAATCAGGAAATACTATCCATCTTAACACTATCAGCTGTAAGGTGTCAATTACTTTACGACATAGAAACCTAATCCGCATATTAATAATCGACTGCAGTATTTACAGGTTTTAGTTTGTCCAATGATACAGTAAAAATGGGTTTGTTTATCTAGGTTTGGTGATTCATGAAGTTTCTGTGGATGTTGATTCATACTTGGACCAAATATAATAGTCACGGTTTATCTTCTGCCATACTTGAAATAGCGTATCTTCCATATTCCTGTTGTTGCGCATAAAATGTGTGTTAAGTAAATATCAGTTAATGTTCAATACTCTGAAATTCTTTTTTAATTTATCACAAAGTCAACAGATACCAAAGTATCACAACATAAATGGGGCATTCATACCACTGCTTTTACATTGTTTAATTTAAAGTCTGCAATCTAAATAAATCTTCAAATCGTTGCATTTTTGTATATATTCTATTTGACATTTTAGAATACAGATATTTTTGCAAGCACTAAGATTAAGTTAAATTTTCAGTTCTTACAATTCATTTTTGCTGACTACGTCATACTAATATTTGAGCCACATTTTGGTTGTGGAATGGCTAGCTAATTTAGCTGGCAATAGTAGGTTGTGCAAACCTTTCATATAAAACTCTGGGTATCTATGACCATTTTTCGACTAAAACGTTCTCGTTCTCTAGTTAACCCATTCGAAACACCAAAAGTAAAATCCCTTAGCTGTGTAGACCAGTGATTTTCAACCTTTTTGGTGGAGCGACACCAGACACCACCTCCCTTCAAAATTGCAAAGGGAGTTCATTGATACCATATATTGTTTTGGCCCTCACAGATGTATTAAATGAAGTAAAAATACTTGAACCATCACTGATTAAAAAACAACAAACCTGGTTAAGATATATTGAGAACTGACTTCATTTTAAAACTGAAATTGTAAAGGGATTTCATGAACACCCTGTATTATTCAGGTCATAGGGGTTTTTAACAGCCAGTCGAATAAATGACAGTTGGTTGAACCATATTATGATTCTCAAGGAGGTTGTTAAGTATAAAATCAGTCGTAAGTAGTATAGTAGACATCGCTGATGTAGAAAGGAAGATATACCCAGTGAATTGCACGATCATTCTTGCGTAGTTGGCACCTCATCTTCACACCTCTGCTTACCCTGCACAGGTGCGCATCCCATGAAGATGAGTAATTATTTGCATGAGGATTGGTTGATTCCTCGCCATTGTAGTTCAGGTTCAGGTGAAGGCTGATCGATTACGCCTTCCTCTCCTATCAAGTCCATGCATCTTTAACAAATTACTAGCTAATCGCATACCTGACATGGGCAATTTAAGTTTTCAATTCAGACTCTTCAAAATTTGTGTTGGAAAATTCAAGTTGTAAATGTTCAGCCTGGCAAGGGCTGCAAATACAGTAGTTGTGTATTGACTTCTAATGGAATGCAAGCCAAGATATTTTTTCCCTATTCTGGGTTGAAAGCAATTTATTAATATGTAGATGTTTATGTATGTTGCATGGTCTTAGCCAAAAGATCGTTCATCTAATCTGGCCCCTCACACATTTGACTTCAGTTATTAAAACTTCGGGTCAACAAAAATTTTGACCAACAAACCAATTCTGACCAGGAATTCACAACAAACGTCTGCAAAACAATATTATGACTTCCATTAGAAGGGTTGAAAGGCTCAGTTCATTGAACTGTCTTAGAGTCACCATTAATCAAAGACTTGAAGTGAATCCTTTTCATAGACTAACCAGCAGTCACTTAGTGACTGACTCATGGGTTTTGGGACCTATTTTAGCCAGCCTACATTTTCTAATAGTGCCCATTAAAAGCCAGTGAGACTTAACTCAGTGCTTGACTATTGATTTAAAGCAAGGCTCTCAAACTCAATTTATTTAGGGGCCACTGAGGCAGAGGCAGGGTGGGTCTGGGCCGCCTCAGATTTAATGAAAGCTTAGTTCAAAAATTCAATTTTCTTAATTTTTTTAAACAGAAAAGAAGTTAAAAACATAAATGAACAAATTAAACCTAAATAAAAAATAACTGAAGATATTAAGAATTAGTGATTGTGTCCTATAACCTATATTAAATGTAAGAAATATTAATCACGCAAACTGAGCTGAGTGACACACTATGGCGGGGGCCACAAACTATCTTCTTGCGGGCCGCAAGTTTAAGAATCCTGGTTTAAAGACTCCTAACAAACACTGTCTGCTGTTGATACCGGGTTCTTCAATTTTACCTACGGTAATTTTCTCATTACCTATATATTGGAGTGTCCATAAAATCTTAGAATTTTTCAAAATTGCGAAAGGAATTTATCGGTACCCTATATTGTTTTGGACCTCACAGATAAAAAAAAAACCTAAACTATTACTGATTGAAAAACAACAAACCTGGTTAAGATATAATGAGAACTGACTTCATAACAAAATTGAAAATGTAATAATAAAATCTCAGAATTTTTCAATATTGCGAAGTGAATTTATGGACACCCTATATTTTCTTCCTTATGTTCAAGCTTCATGCCCACCATCTATCTACTCTATAAAGAAATGTGCAAGCAATGCTGACCCAGAGAGATTCCTCTGCCTGAAAATATCTCGCTTATCAGAGAGTCTTGATTGGATTGATTATCAAAAAGCTCTTACAAATATTAATCTGAAGCCATGAATTCTCAAATAAATAATACAAAAAACACAATTCCATATTATTGGTATCTAATTTATTGAAAATCATTCTAATAAGAAATCATCTACCGTACTATAAAATTAAAACCTAAATAGGCAATCAATCACTAAGAAATTTCAGTTCTAGGCAAAAAATGAAATGGTGCATTCTATTCATTACTACAGTTTTCTATTACATACAAATATCAAAAGTTAAATGATCCTATGTTTGATGGGAAATCAAGTTTTGCCACAGTGATTGGACTTAATGAGAAATGCACAGCATTATGAAATCAATATAATATGTTATGGTATTTTCATGAATAGTCTAATACAAAAACGTATACAAGTTTTACGATTAGTGGTCAATCAGCAAAAATGATATAAAATAATTTATGATAACCAATATAATATATATGGTATGGTATTTTGGGGCAAAACAGACATTAGGAAATCAAAAGTTAAAAAAAAAGAAAAAAAGCAAATAGATATATCCGATCTTTGCATGAAGCTGCAATCCTAGCTTGCCCCGAAAAGCCTACATCGATATGTAAATGCTCAATTTGATAACAATATTACATAAAGTATACCATCCATAATGTATAAGCTTGTGGACAGAAATAAAATGCATTGCTACTTTGGGATCAAACAGTCATGTAGCAAACTAAAGAATTCAAAAATGGGAAATTTCAGGAGAAAATCAAGAGATGGCTGGGCAGTCCCTGCAATAAAAAGATTTAACTTACTGAGCCATTTAAATAAGCATTGTGGTGTCTGAAAAATTGGGCCAAACACAGAGAGAGAGAAATCAAATACTCATACTGATTGATTTTAACCATTAATTTCTATAATAAAAACATAATCTCTTTAATAATAATAATATCTCGTACAATTATTCTTGCAATGGCTACATATGTATTCAAATTAGACAATGAGAAAGGACCTACAGTTCAATATACATTTCCTAGTACTATCCGCATGAATTTCTGCCTAATTATTTTTTATATACAAAACAAATAAGGGTATTAATGAAACTTATTTAAGTGGATGGATAATTTGGTATTTATCTTTCACTCTCTGCCATTCTAGCTGTCAAACCTGAAGCTGCAAGCAGAAAAGTTATGGCATTCTCCCATTTTCATCTGGGCAGTTGCTACCCATGGAAGGACCTTCATTGTCATCCATTGGTTGCAAATCTTATCGTAAGCATACAACGTAGCCTCAGACGAGGTTTTACTTAGAACAATCAATTTTCCGTCAGCAACGAACAAGCATGCTTTCTCTGGTGCTGAACCTGGAAACATGCTTACATCGTACCATTCGGAATCTTGTTGACTGAACCGCCCCAAACTATTCGAACCAAATGTTACAGCATATATATCACCTACGAAAGAAGCGACACTGAATTTGAGACTGATTGATTCCTCATCTTCATCATCAGAAATGTAATGATCTCCCCTATATATGCTATGCCATTCTGTTCCATTTTCATTCAGCACGCTAGCATTCTGCTTTCCTTGAAATGCATATATATCATTACCGAGAGTTGCCACATCACCATCACACACAGGCAATTTCATGTTCCATCTGTCATTTAGAGTGTCATACCCGCAAGAAGCATCTTCAGAAATGAAATAAATCATATTTTTCAACACAACAACTTTTGAGTGTGGCGGAACACCTCGTGCTACAGTTTTTCTTATCCATTCCTTGTTAGTGCCAAAATAATAAATGCCTGTGGTATTAAATAAGCACAACTTTCCATTGAATGAAAATATTCTTGAACCTGTGTCCGTGGGTATGGTTGGAATTTCAAGACGTGTTCTATTTCCATCAAGATAAAAAGCATGTATTAGACCATTTTCTAACATAACAGCAATGCATTCAGTTGGATTGCTGTAGTTTGGTTTGGTATTGAACACTCCATCCATCAGCATCATCATGCATCCTGGTGAATCTTTTACCAATGGCTCCTGCCTCACTGTATCCTGAATAAATTGTTTGGGTAACTGGCTAAAATCCACATTTTTTATCATCTCATGAACCAAGTGCATTCGTTCAGAATCATACTTTAGCCATTTGATAATTGCATTCCATCTCAGTTCTTCTGGAGCTAAACACTGAACATTCTGAGCTCCTAGAATCATAAAAACTTCTTTTTCTGTCAAATAAACAAATTCATCTTGAATGAGAATTTGCTCATATTGATCAATTAAGAATTCATCAATAATATTTTGTGCCTCTTTTGTAGTATGTTTCAATCCATTTTGAAATTGCCTTACAATGAAAAAATTATCCATGTTCAAATTTTTTCCGAGCTCACCCGTGCTTAAAAAAATTCTTCTGATGAAAAGATCTAATCGCTTTTGTGAATCTTTAATCAGAGAATCATTTGCGATACTCTGAAGTAGATTCGCTGATGGAAATTGATCCAGCTTAATGAGTTTTATCAACTCATCCATGTATTCACTTCTTTCACTTTCATTGTAATTGATCCATGATTTCAACGCTTTCCAGGCAAATTCATCACATTTCGCAAAATTTGAAACAAAACTAATTAGATCATCAAATGATTTCGAAGCAAATTTTTCTGTTTTGATGACATCAAAAAAATTGTTTTTTATGCAAAGCTCAACTTTTTTTTGAAGATCATCACATGAGTATATTTCAAGTATATCAGCAATATCAAGACAATTTTCTGAACTTACATTTTCTTCAATTGTTTTGAAACAGGATTCTCTAAGTTCCTCTAGTTGCATTAAACTTGCAGCATGCAGGATATCCCCTGCTGTATCTACTTTAATATTAGCATTGCCAGAATACATATAATCTATGCATTCTTTCACGGCCTCAGCCTCTACATCTTTCATACAAACAGCATTTTCTTGACACTCCTTTGTATCATGCTTGAACATGGCTCGAAAATATTCTGAACAGGCGACCAAAACTGCACGATGGACCATGAAAGATTTAACCCCAACCTTCATAGTGAAATCACAAACAATATCTTGGTCTTTGAGATCACGCAGAGATGACAACACCAGATTGCCATGACTTGGCTTACTAGCTCGGACAGCTATCCCACTGCAAGGCAAATCCAACTCTTCTGTCTGAGTTGAAGTATTAGTAGTATGTGGCCACGAAGGACCTTCCCTAAATGAACCTCTAGAAGAAGATGGCTGTGAGAAATTGCCAAACAATCCTCGAGTAGTTCGTGGCTGTGAAAAATTGCCAAACGATCCTTCAGTAGTTCGTGGCCGTAAAGAACTCCCAAACGTAAATCCAACAGTGTCAGACCTAGGAAACTGACGCTTGACACGCTTTTTACGCTCTCCAAAACCAAATTCCATCATTTATTGACTTGGGGAAAAGTCTTACAAACTGTTGTGAAGCGTTTGCTGTGCCTGTGTCACTATATATAGATTTATAATATTAAAGACACCACATATTCAGACCACTAGAATTGATAGGAACTGTAAAAAATGGTGATGTTAGTAATATGACTCGGTAATTCTAAAATCCATTTATGCCTATGTATAAAATATAGCATGAACATGAAGTTTTCGGATAATATAATCATTAGACCTTACATTGAATTTTTGTAGTTCTGGCCATATTATATTTTCTTTGTTTGACAACTCACAGCATTCAGAACATTTTAGTAATTTTCCTCACTTTAGATTATTATTCATTTATGCTCAGGATAATATGAGCGACTGCAGACTGCACAGCTAAATCTTAATACAAAGTTTAGCCAGATAGCCAGGGAGTATTTACACTGACATGCAGTCTCACATTGTAATTGCTCTGAGATTGAGTATGGATGTTGGATTGTTTTGGTATATCCAGTGATATGAAATAAGACGGTTACCCGCCTATTCTTGTCATGAAAATCATTCATGAAGATAAATAAGGAAGCAGTGACAAATTGCTAACTTACATGGAACCTCTTGGTGACTCCAACATTCAGACATTGATACCCAGAAAAATCTTAATCGTATTACAATCAGGGTTGGGTTTGAGAATCCATTTGAGATCTAATTCAATACTGTTAATTCCAGTCATAGTACTAAATTATTTACTTTCAAACAAAATAAATATTTTTACTTCAACCCTAAAATTTTAATCGTTAAAAACTAATCATGAGATTGATAAAATAGATTATACATTATTCCTAGTCCTTGATGCAAATATTTTTACACCTAGTGTAATAACCCAAGAAAAACTAACCAAGTATCAAATCTATGAAGTATTACAATTATTAAGAATATAAGTCTGTCAATATTGGAATCTACAACATGCTGCCTAAACCTAATCCAGACCTTATATGACAATCCTACTTCAAATATAAAAGTGTTTCACTACAAAGAGTCAACTAATTAACCGCCAGCACATTGCCCAGCTCGAATCTCTTTTGTTAACCAGTTTTTCCCATAATAAATCATAACAAAACATATGCGGTGTCATTTATATTATATAAACATTATTATCCATTCATATGGATACTTTTGGCACCATCTGAAACATAAACATCCCTGATAACAAAGGGAGCTGGAGTCCTAGTATCTTTACAAAGTCATTGAAGCAAATATTCCTTTATTTATTTATTTCTGACGTTTGTTCCATTACGGCATTTGTTTTTTGAGTTGGGAATTAGTGATAAAGATGGGTTCGATCATCGATCAGATGCCATTAAATTATACAAAGGTTCATTTTTTCACCAGTGTCTGAATTTAACATAGGTATTTCAAATACTATTTTCAGAATTTATTCAATAGATGAATTGCTTGCTATTATATTGACATTGAAAAAGACAAAAACTCTAATTTCAGACTTGAATGTAGTTTAAGTTGCCATAATAATATTGCAACAATATATTATTTAAAGAAAAGGCATTTTTCAGATACAAGAATTTTGTTTTGCTTGCTATTATATTGACACTGAAAAAGAAAAAAAAACTCTTATTGCATGCTTCATTTGAAAGTGGCGAAATTGTAATGCAATACCATGTTATTCAGACAAATGACACTATTCAAGTACCAAGGTCTTGACCACTGGGAGCTTTATTGAAATAAGCAAAAGACAGATTGAAAATTTGTTTAGGTACAACAAACCACACTATCACTTTAATACTTAACAGGGTGTCCATAAAGTTTCTTTACAGAATCATTTTTGTTATGAAATCAGTTCTCATTATATCTTAACCAGGTTTGTTGTATTTTCATCAGTAATTGTTCAAGTATTTTTACTTCCCTTAATACATCTGGGAGGGCCAAAACAACATATGATATGGATAAATTCCCTTTGTAATTTAAAAAGAGACTTTATGGACGTCTTATATAATTTTTAAAAGAAATTTATTGAGAAGCACTTTTTACCATGACAATGGCTGACCAGAACCATACTTTTAAATGTTATTAGCAAAATTTTTTTTTTTTATTACATCATAACTTTAATTTCTATAACAATATTCACATGCACAATAAAATTTGACCAAATACAAAAGTAACATGAAAATTTAAAATATATAAAAATGAGACAGAAAAAATCAAAAAATATTAAAATTCGCTTTTGGAACTTTTCCATTTGCCATCTATATGTCAATGTGGCTATCCCATCAAGATGATGCATAAAATAAAGAAGATTACTCCCAGTCATATAATATTTTTGTGTAAAACTGCCATTGTATAAAAATCGTCACAGCACGATGACCTATGTATACATCATCCATGTGACAAAATGAAAGTAATTCATTCTTTTGCTTGTTAGTAATAAATTTTACCACAGTGTACATTTTAAAATTAAACGCATGCTACTTTCATTTTTAGCTATTTCATATTATTTAACTGAATTCCAAATTGATTTGCTGTGTAGTGATTAAGTTGGATTTTCACTGTGAACCATTCGCAATGCAACACCATTGCCAAAATTGAACAGCCCATTCAGATTATAAAAACAAATGGTATATCCTCAATATTATCTTGACACATAGCAATAGCTTTTGTACTTCGGCACCCTAGTCCATCTACAAAATCCCTGAAGTAGAAATAACTTCGTTTATTACCATTCCTATTAAAATTGTATGATGCCTATGAAATGGATATTTTTATTATTATTGGTGTATTACATATATCCTTACCCAGAGCATAGCATGTATATCATTTCATATGCTTGCTCTAACCTTATGCCAAAGTGTTTTATCTATCTCAAGTCATAAATAACATTGCATGAATTTTGATTTATATGCTTACTTTGACCATTTGCTCCCAATATAATTTACCCCAACTCAGAACAATGTTGAAAAAATTAAAAAAATACTAAAATTTACTTTTGGAACTATTCATAGAAGAAGTGCAGTAAAAGGGACATTTTTTGGCACCACAATTTTCATTTCATAATCGAATCGAATAACTTTTTTTCAAATCAGTAGTCAAATTATTTCAATTTGGATTCAAATAAATAAACATTTAAACAGAAAATAAACAAACCAAGAGACATTATAAACACAAAGTGATATTTAGATATGAAATAACATCAAGATATATGAATAAAAAAAACTTTCTCTTTTAAAAACTTTTATTTAACTTTGCTAATTGCAGTCAGAACAATAAGTCCACATATATGGGATACTCATTTTAGATTGACATCAATAAAAGATTTTGTAAGGCTTCTGAATTTCAAATTTAAAAGTGGAAATTTTAAATTTTATATGTATTATGAATATTTTTGTTTTTTATAAAAATTGTCAATCAAATAAAACAATCGAAAGTAATAAAACTCATAAGAACATGAACAACTATTAAATGCTGACGAGTTTGAAATGAAACACAATATTTTTATCATTGTGGTCATTCTTCATTTGTCCAAATCCAAGAGCTTGTACCGACTAGCAAGAGGACTCGGATATTTGTGGATTTGCAGCTTCGAATTGATCGTTAACAGGTTATTTATGTTTTATTTGGAAATTTGCCAACAGGAATTATACAATGTTATTGATATATATATACTGTTTATATGTGATTTTTCAAATAAAGCTCTCTGAGGGTGGTGTCTCCAAAATTTCGTGTCCCACTTGTACCACTTGTCCCACATGTCCCTCTTGTAAACATTTAAGTGGAAAATAGACAAATCAAGAGACATTGTAAGCACAAAGTGATATTTAGATATGAAATAACATTAGGATATATGGATGGAAAAACCTTCCTTATTTAAAAACTTTTATTGAACTTTGCTAATTGCAGTCAAAATATTAAGTCCACATACATGGGGAACTCATTTTTGATTGACATCAATAAAAGGTTTTGTAAGGCTTGTGAATTTCAAAGTCATTGGAAATTATAAATGTTAATATAATAAGAATTTTTTATTTTTCACAAAAATTGTCAATTAAAATAAACAATCAAAAGTAATAAAACTCATAAGAACATGAACAACTATTAAATGCTGACGAGATTGACATACATGAGTTTGTAATGAAACACAATATTCTTATCATTGTGGTCATTCATAATTTTTCTCCGAATAGAAGGTTGCGGCGACTAGCAAGTGGACTCCGATAATTGTGAATTTGCAGCTTCGAATTAATCGTTAACAGGTTATACATGTTTCAATTGGAAATTTGCCAACAGGAATTATACAATGGTATTGTAATCGAAATTTCCCACAGCCCGGAGTCAAAGTCTATATTTTCTTTGACAAGAGTCTTAAGGTAAAATTTTTTTTAATTCCACAACTATATTGTAATAGTAGGGTTAGAATAGAATAAGATTTCTAACATTCGTCCTAGACAGAAGGAAGTCGACAGAATGATAAAATTCCTTAAAGTACAAAAAATGAAAAGAAAACACAAAATGAAATTGATTGATTATGTTTTTAAAGGTTGACTGAAACGTGGGACACATGGGACACGTGGGAGAAGTAGGACATGTGGGACACGTGAGACACGTGGGACAAGTGGGACACATGGGACAAGTGGAACACGTAGGACAAGTGGGACACGACATTTTTTGAGACACCCCTCTGAAGGCAGCCACTGTATGGTTAAGAGCTACTAGGTTTTTAAAAAATTGCGCACATCCATTTTGGCATCGCCTTTTTGCACTATTGAACCCGAATGAGGTGGAGGCACGGATTCGAAGTCAGGATTTTAGCTTGCCATGCCAACATTGTCAAGTTTAACGCTTTTACTTTAAATAGGGCGAAAACATGTGTTTCTGTTATATTCAATACCGGTAGATTATATTTATATTGCACACCCGCCAATTCCCCTAGATTCTAGGGTACTTTGTTTTCTCTGAGGATCCAATCAGTAGCAATTTATGAATATTTCTATGTTGATACAATTGTGATTGATTAGAAGAGAAGATACGCTTTATGGAACCCATTTAACCATCAACTAAGCACACGAAATTGAACTATAAAAATGCTTAAAGAAGCATTCAGTGCATTTCGTGAAAATATTTATGAGAAAATAAATTACCAACAAAAGTAACAATTAGGATGGGTAATAAATGATGCGTTTTCCACTGCAAACAAGTTTCTGGACAACGCTAATTTCTCGGATTTTCTTTACTTCCATAGTTGTCATAATCCAGAAAGTGTGGGTTGTGGGTGTGAGGTTTCAATCAACGATCTTTAATCCGCTAACAAGTCGCTGTTGAGCCGCTGTCGTTAGTAGGGATTTCCCCTTAATAACGCCAGGGGTTCCTATTCCAACTGGTCTACACATTTGAAATGGGAAAGTTATTTACTGCCAGATTAAAGTGATATGTAGATTTCTGTATGGGTGTTTTTAATTCAGTTAATTTGTACATAGATGAATTCATAAAAATGCTTTGGTTTTTGAAGAATATGTGTTAAAATTTGGAAAGAATGAGTAGAGGAATACAATTCAAAATAGATAAGAATAAATTTCATTTTTATTTTTGCTTCAATTTGGCAAATATCAGAACGGAAATAAATACTTGTCAAAATTGTATCGTTTTCGAAATTATCTTCTATTATTCCATGTCGACTTGCCAAGATATATTGTCTTTTTTGTAGAATATTCATATAAAATACATTTTAGTATGCTCACCCCTGACCGAATCAGTCAGCCAATCAGTGAGATTAATGACTGACAAAAAAATTTTCAATCCCGACATTGACTGGTACTGGTAAACCAACAAAAATCTATTGTTTGCATAATTGGTAGGCCTCTTGTTTTTATTTTTCTTGCCCCCTGGGTAAATAAAATATTACTATCCAATCTCTTATGTCGGGTATGAAAATGGCTTCTCAGTTATTAGTACCATCAGATACATAGATATTGGTAGATCCGTGCTCCAACTTTAAATAGTTAGTGTCAAAGAAGGGGCAAAAGTTTTCTAGGTTTATGTCCATAAGAGTTTTAACAGATGATCAAGGTTGTTAATATTATATGGTAATGAGATCCATGGATAATACTTTCTGACAATTTATTTTAATGCAAATGTAAAGTATTATATTCACTGACAGAAAGAGAGCTTTAAAAATAGACAGTCCTTATACAGCTCTAGAAAACAAGACGTGCACTGAGTTTGGGTACAGCTGATAAGTGCTGTTTGTAAATATGATATATTGCCAAAATGGGTACTCCCATAGTATGTGTATTAGGTTAGGGTTAGGTCATAATTTTATTTCCATTTTCCTTATTTTAGTTCCATTATGAGTTCTGGCACTGTCTGTGTTAGTCAAGTGAATATACCCCCTGCCTATAGGCTTCCGTCCCTTTACACAACTTGATGTAAATTAGGCGAACAAAATTAGTTACCTCCATATTGGTACACATACTTCTGGAACGCCAAAAAATGAAACTGTCGTGTAAATGTGATATAATTAAGTAAATAAGCCTCAGTATTCTTGCAAGGCGTATTAAATTTCAGTCAATCCAGACTACTGGACATGAAAGCTTTCAATTTATGTTATTCATATCATTCCTGCTCAATTTTTCTCGTTGATATTATTTCCTTATTTCCTTATTTACTTTCAATAAATGTTTCTGTCTAAAACACTTAAATGTTAATGATTAAGCTATTTTATCAATGTCTTCCCATTTGGAATAAATTCTATAATAGACCTACTATATTTTTATTATAAAAAAAAAATTCAGCCCCAAACAATAGCGAGTAATATAGCACAGGTCTGTTAGCAGATTTAATGTTCTGTTTAGGCAGGATAGCTGATTTGTGTATCAATTTTTAGCTGCGATTATGTGACATCATTGGGTTGAAACCTTATGTTCAATTTCTCATCTATGTTGTTTTTTATTTCAAGTTCTGGTATTTCCTAGCATTTCGTTGTTTTTCATGGCTTGTCTTATGAGTTTTGTCAATTTGTTTAAAACATTTTTGTGTCCATCTTCTTATTTTCTTTTCAACAGCTTTCAAATACTGAAACCTCAGGAAATGTTAGACTGACTATGTCAGTCCAAAATAGGTAATCCATCACATCTGAACTTATGGTTTGGGCCTCGGCTGACGAAATTCAATTAGAATAGCTGAAAAAAGAAGCGAAGGATAAATTTTCTAAAACATTTTTCATTCATGACTTTCGAATTAATGAATCAGAAAAAATTAATGTACTGATTATACCAGTTTCGGTATACTTTTATCACAGAACCACGGTCAAAATTAATGAGTTGTGTTGCACAAAGCTATTTACACACATTGTATACAAAATGGTTATTTGTATAATCAATTTGGGATCCTTCCATCATACTTGTATTGCTTATGAACTTGTACTTTTACTAATTGAATGGATTGATCTGGTATTACTCAATACTTGATTCAATTTTCTATTAAAGTTATACATGGCTCTGTCCAGCTCTTATTATGAATAATATTCTATTGCAATATATTTCATTAGAAAATTATAAACCGTTTTTCAAGTGTTAGAAGGATAATGTGAAACCTGTCATGTGAAATATATCTAGCTCAATTTTTCATTAGATTTCAGTTGGATTATTCAATTAAATCCTATGTAGATGTAGAAAAAAATATTAAATGATAAAGAAGTGTGTACTTGTATTACCATTTGTCTTTTTAAAATCATTTCATTGCATTACCAATATCAATAAAGTAACACCCATAACAAAAAGACAAAAAGGTGATTGCCATTTTGGCATATTTGCCATATTCTAATGTGCAGCTTGTGATAGCTAACAATTCATTATTTGACAAAATTTTAAAAGTTAGTTATAGAATTTTTTTTCAATTCAGGAAATAATAAAATAAAATTTAACATCAGGAAAATTTCATTATAGAGCAGAAACAATCATTTTTTAAAGATATACAAATACTTTAATGCAGCGGTTCCCAAACTATGGGTCGCGACCCACTGGTGGGTTGCAAAAGGAATCTTAGTGGGTCGTGAAAAGATGTAGAAAGCTTTGATTAATTATATATACTGGTTATTAGTGGCACTTCTTATCGTGTTTCCCCAAAATTTAGACAAGATTTAGATTTATTTTCTTTTAAAGAATAATACTATGGTTTTTTTTTGAAGAGGTCTTTTGTGTTCATTTATCAAAAATAAAATTACATTGTAGAAAATCACGAGATTTTTTAATAAACATATAAAAACCGACATCCATTGTTTTTATTTGTATTTCCTATACAAAAATCAATTGACAAATAATGTGATTGTGACATCACACAATCTTGAATAGTGGTGTGATCTTCATCTTACCTCAGGTCATTGAACCTTTCTTCTCCCACACATTTTAAATTTATTTTAAGGGTAGGGTTTAATTAAAATTATTTTTAAAATTCAAATTAGGTCTTATTTTCAGGCCAAGTCTTATTTTCGAGGAAACATGATAGTTTTGCGATGATTGGCCATTGCTGTGTTCTGTGTTATGTCATAAAAAGTTAAGTGGGTTGCCATAAGCTGTGGTAATAAATAGTGGGTCCCAACTCTAAAGAGTTTGGGAACCACTGCTTTAATGTGACATTAGGAAGTGATTGATAAATGAATTTTTACTACATTGACTTCTCAAAGAGACTAGGACACTCCCATTTTAGTGAGATTTTAATTTCAGATTGATGGTAGGAAATAAATGCAACACATACCGGTAATTCAAAAGCAGCTATGCCCTGAGATAAACCGGGTCAGCAGAGAAGGCCAGAAACATGCAAAAAAATTGCGTAGCTAGTTTTGTGTTAGAAATATATACATTTACAGAAAGGTTAATGTTTGAGGCCTGTTTTTGATTTCATCAATATGATTTAGGTTTTAATAAAAAAGGTTAGCCAACAAATTTATATCATTTTTATTTTTTAAAAGTGTATAGCTATTATGGTAGGTATATAATGAATATTCCTGGTTCCATGGTTGTTATACTTCTGCAAAACTTATATTAGACAGGTAGTCAGTTGACTGCCATAAAACTATTAACAATAACATGAGAAACAATGTCTTTTACAGTCCTTCTTATTTTTTTTTGCCAGTTCATAAATAATTTCCTTGTTATAAATATTCAAATTTAAAGTAGATATAACTATGAGATGTGTTATAAGATAAGTTAGATATCATCTTATTTTGATTGTCTCTCATTTGATATATTGAGTAAAATGTATTATTTATTGGAAATTGTTGAGTGCTCTTGAAGTTCTAAGTTGTATTCGACAAGCAATTAGTATTTACAACAATATTCTGCCTCAATTTGTTTCTACACAAAAATGACTTTTTAAAAAATTATATTTATTTAAAATCTTTGATAAATATTACAGAGTTTATGATAGAAATACCAGATCAGGCAAATGTTTACCGGGCCTGAGCAATCTATTTTGAAATTTTTTAAGAACTTGTTATCACTGAGATTAATGCTGGGCTAATTAATGTTTGAGGAAGGTAAATATGTTATGTGTAAAAAATGTATTTACATAACACGGTTGTTTATTGCGGTAACTAGTACCGGGAATAGTTTTTTTTTGTATTCAGTCACGTAAGAATAACGTTTGAAAATCAACTACTAATTGGTGTCATTATTGGGATGAATGCCTCTTCTAAATTAGATTTCGATGCTATTTTGTTATTACAATATTGAACTACAGAAGCATTTGGTTAAAAGTTCATGATATCCCTCAAAATTTATCACAAATGGAATCTGTTGGCCCAAGTCACACGTCCGATAAAAAGAAAGTTTTATATAAAAAAACATTTCAAGAAGCTGGTAAAACTGCATCTGCGAATAAGATAACAATTGCAGGTAATCAAAATTCACTATATCATTACATTATCTTAAATAATCTGACATATAGTAACAAGGTTTGGCGAAATTTTAGATTTTGATAATAAAGTACTTGGCGTACCAATATGCATATAATTTTTAAAATATTCATCCATTTTTGCCTCAAATCAGAGAGTCAAATCTGAAACTGAGATGTACAATAATTTATCAATAATATGGTACTCCTGTAGTATGCGAAGCAAGATGGCGGACACCGGAATGAAGTATGTGTACGAAGTATGTGACCTAGCCCCATTCTGGTAGGCATACTACGTTCTGGTGTCCGCCACCTTGGTTCGCATACTACAAAAGTATCATTAATATTTATGATAGATCAAGGTTTACAAATTTCCAGTTAAGGTTTATGGGCAATTTTTTAGTTTAGCATGTGCTCAAAGTAAAGTCATAGAGGCTGGTAAAAGAGTTCAATCATGAGTAAATTCAAAATGACCACTGATATGCAACTGTTTGCAGTAATCAGGGTTTGATTTAATCACATTTTTTTGCAAAATTTGGGAAATCGAAATTTTTATCTTTTTGTACGAGTGAACGCCTTACAGCATGCCAAATAGCATTCTTGCACACTGTTCTAATTTCAGCTTAAACCGTGGCTTCCGCTCTTTCAACCTAGTCGTTATTGCCCCTGCATGCCAAAATATTTTAAGAGTAGGTTTACTAATCAAATGAATGCAGTGGGCGGTAAAAAATAAAAATAAATTCTGGGTAAATCGAATTGACTTTTTGAACCATAACCAAATTTTTCATGATGGTAATAAATAATAAAGTTTAATGATATACCGGTAAGTCAAAATAATATTTTTTTTTGTTTTCAGATTCAATTCAGCTCACTCCTTCACTGTTCATGCTGCATTATGAAAAAATATCTAAGAATTGCAATATTTTCAGAGGTTGGCAGGTCCATGACAAGTTTGGAAAAGTTCCAATTGCTATTAAGTCTATTGAATACAATACAAAAAATGAACAAAAAGTTAGGAACATTTTAGAACTTCAATCACACTCGAATGTGAATAATATAATTCAAACAGGGACATTCTATTCTGGTCCCTTTAAACAGATATTCATTGCTATGGAATACCGTGGATTTCAAACTTTAACACACAGTTTTAAAGATCCTGAGAAGCCCAATTCTAGACAGCTCAAGCTCAATCTAGTAAAGCAACTTATTGATGGTGTGGCTCATCTTCATACAAATTATATAGTACATGGGTATTTACATCCGGACAATATCTTGGTATCAGACGATGGACAACATATTAAAATAATATGCCTAGGAAAGTACAGTCAAACATTTTTTTTTACATCGAAAATGGGAGTGATGCAAGATGAAGATATTTGGAGCGCACCAGAAATACAAAACAGTGACCGTTACATTATAACAAAACAAACAGACTTATTCTCATTGGCACTTGTCATTTATTACATTTTGACTGATGGATCTCACCCATTCGTTGATTCCGATGATGTCAGAAAGAAAAACATGAAACTATATAAACATTTAGACTTAGCCCAATTAGAAAGTGACATGAAAGACTTATTATATTGGATGCTCAGATTTAATCCACATGAGCGACCAAGTATGGAACAAATCCGGGGACATAAATGCTTTGGTGGTGAAGTTGTCTGCCCGTTCCCAGAACAAAGTAAATATATTTATATTTATTTACAATTTAATCTTAACATAGCACTACTCATAAAGTTACCCATGTCTTGGGACATGAATTTCTGCAGACAAATTAACTAATTGGGTAATATGCATACATGGTATATTATTGAGTTTAAAATAGAAAATGTATAATCATAATATGGATTCCTTTTTCGTATATTACTCAACGTGGGGAATATTAGTATATGTGACAGCATATTGAGTTTATGCTAATTTTTATTATGTAAGTCCACAATAAGTATTGTTGGAGAATTTTTATATTATGTTAATGGATGAGACTTCGAATATAAATATATTATAAATATTACTACACTATAAAATTGTAGTTATAACAAAATTTTTGAAGTGAAAACAATTTAAGAATCTCAGATATGTCATAAAACGGAGTAGGACCAGGAATCATAACACTGTATCCTACTTACCTTGCTAATGAAGTTGCTGTAATTTTTAATTTGAACATATTTTCCGAAAAAGAAAACATTTTGTTTGACCTTGATCATGATACTGGAGTATGATTTTTTAATCAATTTTTTAGGTTCCATAGTAGGAACAGCTTCAACAAAAGGTATCATATCGAGGAACATGTATGGAGATACATTGGGAAAACTAAACCGCCTGAAAATAAATGTAGAGATTGATAACCTGCAAAAAGATCGTACAAGTATGGTATTTATTTTTGTTATATTGAAACTTGACTGTTAATTTCGAACGTAAGTTTGTAGTAGAGTCTCATTTCAATTGATACCTACATACTGCTTTTACAATAGCAAAAATGATCTTGAATCAGTGAGTAGTTGCAAGAACCTCAGTGCTTGCGAGTTTCAAGTTTCTAATCAATTGATATTCACTAACACATACTTCTATGCTAAATATATGATGGTCTTAGTAGCGCTTAGTACAGGGGTGGGCAACTTCTCTGGTCGGCGGGCCAGATGTGGGAAAATGAAGTCTTCGGTGGGTCGGATTATTACAAAAAATAAATGCTTTGTGAAAGGCTCGACACTTTCTGTCAACTTTACGTTTCTTGGGATATTCCATGGTTAATAAAACTTAATATAAAATCTAATTTCTAAAATCTATTTATATTTAGAATCTAAATATAAATATAACCGATAACAGTAGTGGAGAATGTTTATAACACTCTCTGCTTTGACCTTATATTGTTTGTTTAACGAGTGTGCTAACACGATTGTTTGTTCACTAAGGCAATTGTTTATTTCACCAGCTCGCACTGACAGTGCGGTGAGAGTTGAGTGATCGGCAACTTTCAAGAATGATGCGTTGAACCACATTACAGAGTGTGGTTGGATACAGTCAGCGGGTCGGTCAAAATCTCGCCGCGGGGCAGATCCGGCCCGCGGGCCGTATGCTGCCCACCCCTGCCTTAGTACTTATGTGTCTGTCCATATGCTCAGATAAGTCTTCTTTGTTGTATTAATTGAGCATGGTCTTGCCTTAAGCAAATTTCCTAGAAAAGTCGAATGGAACATTTTTGAGATACAATATTGCAGTTCCAGCAGATTATAGTTTTTAGCTAGACGGATTGAATATGAAAATATTTTAAAAATGTTGATATCAATGTGGATTATCAATGAACAATAGCGGTATATACAGGGTGTCTCGAAAATAACACTTTTTATATTGATTTGTTTTTAGGTACTCATCATAGAGCGTTCATTTCTTCATAAAAAATAGTATGGATAAGTAGTAATTTAGGTATTATTTGCATTTTTCATCAAGCAACAGAATGACAGGACAGGAGATTAACCCATAAAATGAGGTGCGAAATTGCTGTTTGTCAAAATGCATATAAATCAGTAAGGCAAACTCAGCGACTCTTGGTAGAGAATTTGAAATTAATTCGGCTCTGAATGTTTGCTCCTTCGCATTCCTGATCTTTGTGCATCAAATTTTTGATGAATTGCATAAATTGTTTGTTGTGTAGGAGCCGAATAAATTCTCTGTTGAAGAGGCGCTGAGTTTGCCTTACTGATTTATGTGCTTCTTGCCAAACAGAAATTTTGCACCTCATTTCTTGGGTTAATCTCCTTTTTATTCTGTGTGTTGATGAAAAATGCAAACAAAACCGATATTTTACTACTTATCCATAATATGTTTTCTGAAGAAATGAACGCTCTATGATAAGTACCTGAAAATCAAATCAAAATTGAAAGTGTATACTTACTTTTGAGACACCCTGTAGAAGGTAAATTGTTACCAAAAAGAGAATACATATTGCATTTATCAAAAATGAAGTTTTTACACAAGGCTTATTTTATCTTTAGATGTAACTCACGTCACCACTTCTCTGTTCATGCTTCACAAAGAAAAATTTTCTAAGTGTGGTGATGTATACAGAGGTTGGCAGATTCACGATAACTTTGCTAAAACAAAAATAGCCCTGAAAACACTTGAGTATAACAAAAAGAGTAAAAAAGAAGTTAGAACTATGTTGCACCTCACACCCCACCCAAATATAATAGATATTATTCAATGCGGCATTTTCTATAGTGGAACACTAAAAAGAATATTTATTGCAATGCAAATATTTGGTTCCCAAAATTTAAAAGACTTCATTATGAGATCCAAAACATCTAAGAGTGAACCCCTCAAACAAACACTGGTAAAACAAGTCATTGACGCCATATCTCATATCCATCGAAATAACATTATACATGGTGATCTTCAACCTGATAATATTTTAGTATCCGATCAATTTCAAGTGAAGGTCATAGATTTTGGATCATGCTTAGAAATAAATAGTGGCGAATCTACTACAGCTTTGAATGTGGGGAGAATTGGCACAGATGGTTGGCGGGCTCCCGAGGCATACAATGCCGGTACCATCTCAAAGAAAGCTGACATTTTTTCCCTTGCACTTGTGATACATGTTATATTGACTGACGGATTCCACCCATTTGGCATGGATTCTGATGAATGGAATATTAACATAAAACAATACAAAGGGTTGAACTTGAGCATATTGGATAATAACATGATAGATTTGCTCAGTTGGTTGCTCAGATTAAAACCTCAAGAGCGACCAAATGCAGAGCAAATCCAGCAGCATATAAGCTTTGGGGGTAAAATGGTTTGCCCTTTTCCTAAAGTAGGTGAGTGGAGAAATATTATACACTGTTCAGTATTAATAAATCATTTAATTATCATTTTTTAATTTTCATAAACCTGTCTACATTTAAGTATTAAATTTGCTTATAAGTATCAAAATATTTTAATAAAAAAATAAATTAATCTTTTGGCTGAGTTGGTTTTTAGTATATTTCCACATCTAATACAGTTAAATGTATTAATGACTTCTAAAGTCATAGCCTCTTAGCTTGTGATAACTATTTGCATTGATTAACATTTAGGTGACATCCAATCCAATATAATAGAAGAGCGAATCTTGGAACTACAGCATAAGCATATATGGGATAATGAAGATGAAATGAACCAAGTACAACCAGTAAAGCAGGAATTAAGGTTGATAGGTAAAAAATTCAATACTATAATAAGATGCTTTCTATAATAATATTTTATGAGATGGTTCACTACTTCTCTAAACAAAGGCCTAAACCAGTACTAGGTAATTCATCTAGATTTTAACTTATTTTGTCTATCTTTAAAAAATTATATTACAATATTTGATGGAAGATAACAGATTTGGTTGTATTAAAAATTTGGTTGTATTAAAAATGAGAAAATTTTTGATGAAATATTATGATCTGCGACTCTGTTATTCTTCATTTTTAAATTAAAATTAATTTTTAGATTCAGTTGAGAGTGAAGTTGATTTAAATGATTACCTGACCATCAGCTCTGCTGAAATGTCCAATGGAACTCCGCTTTTCATGCCATCATGGTGCATGCAGGTTGGGGATGCAAAAACAGAAAAAGTCACCATTCATGTTCTCCAACAAAAGGAAAAAACTTTAAAATGGGAAATTACTGAAAGATTATATTTTAGTAACAATCCAAAACTTAAAATTCAAAGCAAAATAGTCCCTGGACAAACTAAAGTCGGGATTCCCTTAAGCCCGATTAATCATGATATATTTAAAGTAAAATGCCATTGGTTTATTTTTGCACATTTGATAGAACAAAAATACAATCTAGGCTTTTCATTAGCTGATTCTCTATGGCAAGATTCAGTTAATACGAAAATGGTATCAGAAAATTTCAAAATACTCTTATCCTTCAATACTTTCGTCGCTAAACTGAATGACAACATCAAGTTTTATATCACTTGTCCGACACATGGACGCAGCAAAAAAATTTCCACATTTTGCATAGATCAACTCCTTACAAAACAGATATCACCCATGTTCCCAATTTTATTGCCTTGTCATAAAGAATGCAAACAGACTGAATGGAATTGTCAGCTTGTGAAAAGCAGCTTAGGAAGCGATGCTGATACAGGTACAGTGAATTAATTTGGCATATTGTTAAGTAATGGGCAACATTTGACGATCTACATAATACTCCGTTTAAGTATAAGTTTTTTTGACTCCTCAATCAACATAACAGACGATAAAATAATTGATAGAAACAAATAAATAATAAAAATTGATTATAGAATCAGGGAAGTACGGTATTTCAAATTTTAGTTTCATTTTTATATGTTATGGCACAATATCAGTAAATGATTTTCTAGTATATTATTCTTTTTAGACTTCAATAAGTTTGAATGAAATATTAATAACATCAATAAAATCTGATTTTCATAAATGCTCCCTTTACAAACAGAATTTATTTTTTAGAACTGGGAGTTGATGATGACATTCTCGTAAATATTCCTACCAATTCTGTGTTTGAAACAGTTTCTAAAGCATGGCGTAATGTTATATGCAAGTATAAGATTTTTAATTTTTGAGGGATAAATGAGATATGGAAATATAGCGAATCCCCAGGGGTTCGCGAATCCCCAGGGGTTCACAGGAAGAGTTTTAGAGAAAAATGTGTGCCGATTGGAACTCACGTAGATTTTCCCTGATTGACGTTGTTGCGCACCAATGTTAAATCCACGACTTTGCAACTAAACTACGGAATCTCAAAAGACAATGTGCTCTTTGCCTGTCTAAAATCGCTCCTCGAATTGAGAAAGTTATTTGCAATAAACAAGGACAGCCTTTATACTAAAGTTATGTATAAATGAAATAAATAATTTTGCTAAATATTCTTTACAATACTAAAAATTGTTAGTCAATATATTACAAATTTATTTGGTGTCTGATTACTGGGGGTCCGGGTTGTTTTAGGACTCGGGGGTACTTCACAGAAAAAGGTACCCCTGTACTCCAGTCTAGGGGATAAAAGGATAAGCAGTGCCATTAGAAACACCACCACATATCTTTTTTTTTTTAATTTTAGATAAAAAAAATATTTCAATTCCTAAAAATGTCATACAAATTCCTTTTTGAAGTTTTTTACAGATTGTATAAAATCATCTATTATGAAGGAATAATGTCAATTTCATTAATTTATTTTAGATGAGAAAAAGCCTTCTACTCATCACATTGATGAACTTTGCTCTGCCATCACCTATTCATTGCAGAGAACAGGGAGAATACAGGAGGTTTACAATGAAAAATGTGGCTATGGACAAAGTAATGATTATTGTCTTTCTGAGAGATTTTTTTGTCTCTGATTCCCCCTTCCCAACTTGAGATTTTGCTGTATAAAACATGTGTTCAAACATCTCAATTTTTTTATTTCTTTGAATGAAAGATAGGATAGAATTTACATATTTATCTCAGAGGAGAGGAAAGCCAATAAAATGGCCTAGTCATATGGCCAACCACAGCCTCTCGTCCGGTTATCAGTCCATGTCGGAGATGGCATTAGTTAGCCAGTTATTTCTTGATAGACCTCCTGGAGTATGCGCACTAAGATGGCGCACAACCTGAACTCAGGTTGTGTACTAGATTAGGGTTCAGGTTATGCGACATCTTGGTGCGCATATTTCAGGAGTACCGACTTGATGGTGGAGGAAGTTGTAACCGACCAGTTGTTACGTGAACCATCCTACGGCGGCGAGGATTCCAGCAATCCTCTCGCACATAATTAACCCTTTAGCACGATGTGCCACATTGTTGAGCCGGATAAAACAACGTGTATAAATGCTTCTTTGTTTTAGATGAAAACGAATTGCTAGCTGCATCTGGTAAAATATATGAAGACATAATTCATGTGGAATGGCAGCCAGATGATACTAATTTTCACAGATATTCTGTGGAAATTTACCACAATAATATGCGTGAAAAATATTTTGAAACAAAAGCGAGATCTTTAAGACACAAACTTCTTGATTTCAACAAGATTTTCAAAGAGTATATCTTCAAAATTAGCGGAATTTATTGCTCTGGATGTTCTAGTGATGCTGCTTTGTTAATGTTTTCACAATCAGGTATTATAGTTGTTTTCAATATTACCATTGATATAACTTATGTTAGCTGCATTTATTCAATTTTTTATGTAATTAAATTGGACATTTTCATTTCCGTTTTAGTGTCGAAAGTTTTGATTTTGTTTCAATATGCAGAGGATATATACTGTTGATTTCTAGAGTTATGTGCAAAAGACAAATCTGGGAAATTTCTGATTAGATAGCAATCTTTATTTGTTTAATAATGATATTTATGTGTGCTTTTATTTTCCAGATTCAGTGAAAAACGATACAATGAAAGTTGTAGCTAAATCAGCCAATAACTCGATTCTTGTGACGTGGCCAAATACCCAAATGGTAAAATTCTATCGAGTCCAAGTTTATGGTGACGATTACCCAGAAGATATTTTTTCAACAACTTCACGTGTGTTCCAGTTTATGGATGTTCAGCCATCAAAATTATATTACTTTAAAGTTCAAGCATTTCAAACCACTTCCATTAAGAATGAAGTCATTAAATGTGGCCTGTCAAATTGTGTGCTCCTTAACACAGGTACGATAATTATGAAAATGCCAATTAAGGGTATTGTTATTATTACATAAGTTTGTTTTGTTCTTCCGATTCTGTAAGATAGCTACAGCCTACAAGTTATTATGTGGATTAATTCATTGAATAATTAGAAATATAACCATATCTCATATATTCAAACAAAGGTAGGCAAAGCACAAACACTCTGAAAATAAAAAAATCACATTAATTTTTCTGCTATTAAGCTTACTAAAGTTTCGAACCAGGTTTAAGAACATTAAGCTGCTGTTTGCATTTTAATAAGGTATTATTAATTTTATTCAAAAAAATTCCGGAAGTATAAATATATCAATAAATTTCAATTCTACACATGAAGCTACAATGTAAATAGATAAAAAAAAAACTTTTTATTTCAATGGCCTAGTTATTTTATTACACTGGTGAATGGCTCTGAATAATGCTCAACATACATAGTAATATCGAATTGCCAAACACTAGGGCTAGGCTGTTGGTTGTTTGGCAACCAAACTTTACAAGAAACATAGATAAACTCAAAATTTGGGACTTTGGGAAAATATTAATTTTCATGAACATCCACTGAATGTTTTTAATAGTTTAATTTTTTTAGACTCTGATAATTTTCAAGAAGTCAAAGTTTCAGTCATTGAAGGAGACTTTTTCCTCAGCTGGAATCCACAAGAAAACCTCGATCAGGATTACGTTGTATCAGTCTTCTACACAGATATGCTATTTCATGAGATACAAACGTCATCGCCTGCTGCAAGATATACTCCGCATCAACCATCCGTGGAATATTTTTTCAAGGTTCAATCTGGTGATTTCGAGGCCTTTTCACAGAATGTGACATCAGGTAATATTTTGAATCAAATCTCTATAAAATATTTCACATTTTTCATTTTTTTTTGGTTTACCAGCTTATCTGCAAATGTTATCGGTAGTGCTGGGAATGGTTAACGGGTTGATCGGTTAACTGACTTTAGATGATTAACAGTTATGATATATTTTAACCGTTAACTGACATCTCAGGTACAGATCATCTTTATAATGTACAATTTTTCTAAATGATTATGTCATTGCAAATTTATTTTCTGTGGCGTTTTAAGTTGAAAAATAATTGAAGTACCAAGATTGCTGATTATGAAAATTTGACAATGATAATTTCAGAAACAGTTATCGGTTGAAGTATATTGTTAACGATTTTATTGCAAAATCGCATATTTAATGTCATCCAACAAGTGCGCAGCAGTTGATGCTTTTTCTATGACATCTCAAAGTGGAATTTCGAATCGAACACTGAAAATTTGTCACATAAATGATATTTATTAATGGAATCGGGTTTTACTAAAATACTTCCATATGTCCTAACCACACTGCATATATATCTCTTACAGCAGAGCGATCATTAAACTACCATACAGGTATAAAATAACGCTAAATTGCTTTGTAACCATTGTGATGCAACAAGCTGAAATTATAAATTAATACGTCAAACGTAACGCTGCGGTTAACCGGTTAATTTAACTCGGTTAGAGGTTCTAGTGTTTTCCCTGAAATAACCAGCCCTAGTTATCTGGGAGTTATTTCATTAATTCTATAGTTTCTCGTTGGTTGTATCGGTATCGCGCAACACTATTCTCAAATTACATTGTCCATTGTTCTCTGCACAAGCGCTATTCGAAAACTTTTGTTGTTTTACAAAGCATACTGTTATGTGAGGACTTACAGACATGCTTCGTTTGACATGAAAGTATAGTATAATTCAGGCTCTAAGAGGTTAAAACTAGTCAAAAATCGTTCATCCATATTGACATTAGCAAGGTGACCGACCGACCCCCCTGAAGAATTTTTTAATTTTATTGTTCAATTTGATTGTAGGTTAGGGTTACGCAATAATTTCGGGTATACTATCGCAGTCACTCTGCTAGTACCCGAATTCGTTATAGAACTGAAATAAAGAATACAATAATAAAATTATGGCCTAACTTTAACCTGGTATAAATATTACGTTCTGGTGTCTGTTCCATCTTGGTTCACATTCTTCGGGAGTACCGAAATACGTTTGTTCATTGTTGATATCAGCGGCTTTGAATCTGCCGTATGCATTTAATCCAAATAACACGAAATTACGAAACAAAAATGAAAATGAATATTTTGTGTTTGACATTTACTGATCTGCCGTCATTCATTTTCAAGTTCAGCGCAACACACTCTTTTACGCATCACTAAAGATGTTGTGTGGCGTAATTTCTTAAGAACTGTCATGTCCAATATTTTTAAATGAATGGCATGAGTCTTTACATTTAATGCGAGTATAAATGGATAATATACATGAAAATTTGTGACAATTTTGATAAAAATTTACAACAGCACACCTACGCTTTGATTAAATTATGGTACGTTCTGGCATGATTGAATAAACATTTAAAATTCATCTTATTATTCTTTGAAAGTATTTCTGTTATTGGACTACTGTAAATAATTTTGTTGTATGAAATAGGAATTTTGAATACATTGAAAAATATAACAAATCCAAAATTATTTTATACTTTCATTCCAAATTCGCTTTGACGATTGCATTAGAAGTGTATAATTGAGGTTGTTGTTTTCTTAAATTAATATTTTTTTATTCTCTCAACCCCCCTATTTTTAGATTTAATTTTTTCATTGTTCACTGTTCCCCCAACGGCTAGAAAACTCTTGTTTTAATACAAAGTAAGTCGCTATGTGAACACTTGCCTTTTATGTATAATTTGAGATCCGGGAGATTAGACTTCTTCAATATTTATTTTGTCATTCTGACACCAGCAGAGTAACCCGAACTAAATGTTTTAAAATTATTTTGTATTGTTTGGTTTTATTTATGATTCCAACAGTTCTTGTTTAAAATTCAAAGTAAAATAAAATATTTAAAATCAATCGAAAATTATCTTTGGAATCACGAATCTGATGTTTAATGTTATATCGATCACTCTGTGACTTGAGTATATTGATATCCTCAGAAAGCATTGACCAAGTTGATCATCTATTACTTTCTCAACTTATAAAGACAATATGACTTATTATTTCATTATTGATTATGTTAACAAAGAATCAGTGTATTCTCTTGATTGAAATTAGAAATTTAGTTTATCATTCAAAATTCTGTCAATGGAGTTATTGGAGTATTGGTAAAAAAACAAAAAAATTTGTTAGATGAAACACAAATTATTAATTACATTGAAAAATATTACCAGCCCTGGAAGCACAAGCACCTGGAAAACTTTTATTGTGATACAAAGCATCTCGCTATGTGAACACTTACCCTTGACTAAGTTGAGTATCTATTACTTTCAGACATCAAAGACTATGATGTATTGTCTCTAAATTAGCATATTCTTTTGATAGGAGTTTGAAAATTTAGCTTATCATCTATAAAAGAAAATACTGTGTTGGTAAAAAATCAAAAGATTTTGTTGGATTTTACACAAATTTTATCTTCAATATTTATTTTGTCATTTTGACACCAGCAAGGTGACCCCAATTATATGTTTTGAAATTCTTTTGTATTGTTTGGTTTTATTTATGATTCATACAATTCTGGTATGGAGTTCAAACTAAAATAAAAATGTTTGAAGTCAATCCAAAAAATAATCATTGGAATCATGAGTCTGATGGGTAATATTATCTTTCTCACTCTGTGACTTTACTATATTGATATTTTCAGGAGTCATTGACTAAGTTGAGCTCTATTACTTTCACAACTTATAAATAGGCCTACACTATGACATATTGTTTCCCTATTTATTATGTTAACAAAGGACTCTCTTGTTGGGGGTTAGAAATATAGCCTATTATTAATAAAAGGTATTTCTGTTATTGGAGAACTGTATTGGCGGTATTGGATAAAATTCCCGAAAAATTGTTAGATGAAACACGAATTTCAATTACATTAAAAAATATTATAAACTAAAAATTGCATTAGAGGTGTTTAATTGGGGTTGCTGTTTTCTTCAATTTCATTGTTTTTTTTTGTTTGTCTCACTCAACCCTTATTTTTAGATTTCATTTTCCCATTGTTCACTGTTCTCACAACACCTAGAGATCTTTTATTGTGATACAAAGCATGTCGCTATGTGATGAGTTGCCCTTTATGTATAATGTATAATTTGTGCCCTTGAGAGGTTACAGCCTTCAAGATTTTATTTTTTTATTTTGACACCAGCACGGTAACCCTTGTTGAATGTTTTGAAATTTTTGTGTATTGCTTTTTTTATTTATGATTCATACAGTTCTGATTTGAAATTTAAACTTAAATTAAAATGTTTAAAATGTTAAAAATTTGTGTTTCCTCGGAATCACGAATCTGATGGTTAATGTTATATCGCTCACTCTGTGACTTGAGTATATTGATTAATTAAATTGAAAAATATCAAGAACACAAAAGTTAAATCTGCTTTGAAGATTGCATTAGAAGTGCATATATGGGGTAGATTTCCTCAATTTCATTGTTCTTTTTTTGTCTCACTCAAACCTAATTTTAGATTTCATTTTCCCATTGTTCACTGTTTCCCCAACGCCTAGAAAACTTTTGTTGTAATACAAAGCATGTCGCTATGTGAACACTTGCCCTTTATGTATATCGTAATTTGCGCTCCTGGAGGTCACAACTCTTCAATATTTATTTTGTCATTTTGACACCAGCACGGTTACCCTTATTACGATATAGGTTTTGATTTTTTTTTTGTATTGTTTGGTTTTCTTTATATGATTCCAACAGATCTGATTTGGAATTTGACCTAAAATTAAAAAAAAAATAATTTTTGGAATCACGAATCTGAAGCATCACAATATGTAAACTCTTACCCTTTATGTTTAATTTGCGATTCGGGAGGTTACAACTCTCCAATGTTTATTTTGTTATTTTGACACCAGCAAGGTGACCCCTATTTAATGTTTTAAAATTCTTTTGTATTGGTTGGCTTTATATATGATTCCAACAGTTCTTGTTTGAAATTTGAACTAAAATTAAAATGTTAAAATCGATCCAAAAAAAAAATGTTAATGTTATATTGCTCAATCTGTGACTTGAGTATATAGATAACTTATAAAGAAACTATGACATAATATTTAATTATTGATTATATTAACAAAAAATAAGTGTATTCTCTTGTTAGGGGTTGGAAATTTAGTTTAATATTCATAGAAGGTATTTTGGTGGAAAATCGAAAAATTTTGTTAGATGAAACACAAATTTAAAATATATTGAAAATTGTTACAAACCGAAAAGTTATGTTATACTTCTAAGTTCCAAATCTGCTTTGGAGATTGCATTACAGGTGTATAATTGGGGTTATTTTAGGATTCATTTTCCCATTGTTCACTGTTCCCCCAACACCTGGAAATCTTTTGTTGTCATACAACTCATGTGTGTTGTAAACACTTGCGCTTTATGTATTAATTCTGAGTAGTTACAACCCTTCTATTTTTATTTTGTCATTTTGACACCAGCAGGGTGCCCCTTATTAAATGTTTTGAAATCATTTTGTATTGTTTAGTTTTATTTATGATTTCAACAGTTCTGGTTTGGAATTTGAACTACCGGTAATATTAAAAATTTTAAAATCAACCCAAAAAATAATCATTGGAATCACCAGTCTGATGGTTAATATTATCTCTCTCACTCTGTGACTTTACTATATTGATATTTTCAGAAAGCATTAACTAAGTTGAGCATCTATTACTTTCTCAACCAAAATATTCAGAGTCACTTTAAAAATTATTTTGGCAATCACAAATCTGATAATGGGCGCTCCAGAAGTGTGTGTACCAATATGGAGGTAACTAATTTTGTTCGCCTTCTTCTCATGAAGTTGTATAACAGGGCTGAAACCTATGGGCAGGGGATATATTCCCTTGGCTAGGATTGACAGTCTCAAAACTCGTAATAGGACTAAAATGAAGAAAATAGGGATAAAATTATGCCTTAACTCTAACCTGGTACTCACACTACAGGAGTACTTGATAATGTATATATACTTTACAATAGTGGTGTTAATGTAATCGGATACTTTATTTTTCTGTGTACAATATGATATTGGTAACTGTATATTAGTTCGGAATACTTCACATTCACTATACTTAAACTGTGAGTGTGAAAATGCTTATTTCAAATGGCACTCCTGTCATAATAATAATAATAACATAGATCATGTTTTTATTCTCTAATTATGGTAGCCAGTATAATTACTTGAGTTGGATTGGACGTATGACTAATTGAATATGAAGTGAAATGTTTTATTTTTTATCTTCAAACCATTCTGATTTGGAATTTGAACTAAATTTAGAATATAAAAAATCAATAAAAAATAATTTTTGGAATCTCCAATCTGATGGTTAATGTTATATCATGTCTCGCTCTCTCTGTGACTTGAGTATATTGATATCTTCAGAAAGCATTAACTAAGTTGTACATCTATTATTTTCACAACTTATTATGACACTATGACATATTGTTTAAAACTTTACAATATTTATTTTGTTATTTTGACGCCAGCAAGGTGACCCTTATTAAATGTTTTGAAATTATTTTGTATTGTTTCATTTTTTATATGATTCCAATAGGTCTTATTTGAAATTTAAACTAAAATTAAAATGTTCAAAATCAATTCGAAAATAATCTGGGAAATCACGAATCTGATGGTTATTGTTATATCTCTCACTCTGCGACTTGAGTATATTGATAACTTCAGAAAGCATTGACTAAGTTGAGCATCTGTTACTTTCCCAACTTATGTAGACATTATGACATATTGTTTCCTGACTAAATATGTTAACAAAGAATCAATGTATTCTCTTTATTGGGATTAGAAATTTGGCTTATTATTCATCAAAGATATTTCTGCTTTTGGACTACTGTATTGGTAAATAATTTTGTTAGATGAAACAGTAATTTGAAATACATTAAAAAATATTACAAACCGAAAAATTATGTGATTCTTCCATTCCAAATTCGCTTTCAAGATTGCAATAGACTTGTTTAATTGGGGTATTTGTTTTATTCAAGCTAATTGCCTTTTTTCGTTTGTCTCACTCAACCCTATATTTTTATATTTCATTATTCCACTGTTCACTTTTCACCAACATCTAGTAAACTTTTGTTGTGATGCAAAGCATGTCGCTATGTAAACACATGTCCTTCATGTATAATTTGCGCTCTGATAAGTTATTACTCTTCAGGATTTATTTTTTTCATTTTGACACCAGCAAGGTGACCCTTATTAAATGTTTTGAAATTCTTTTGTATTGTTTGGTTTTATTTATTATTCCAACAGTTCCTATTTGAAATTTAAACTAAAATTAAAATTTTTGAAATCAATAAAAAATAATTTTTGGAATCACAAATCTGATGGGTAATGTTATATCACGTCTCGCTCTCTCTGTGACTTGAGTATATTGATATCTTCAGAAAGCATTGACAAGTTGAGCATCTTTTTTTTTTTCACAACTTCTTAGGATACTATGACCTATTGTTTACAACTTTTCATTATTTATTTTTCCCATTGTGCACTTTACCCCCAACGCCTAGAAAACATTTGTTGTGATACAAAGCATGTCGCTATGTGAACACTTACCCTTTATGTATTATTTGTGCTCTGAGAGGTTACAACTCTTCAATATTTATTTTGTCATTTTACACCAGCAAAGTGACCCCTATTATATGTTTTGAAATTCTTTTGTATTGTTTGGTTTTATATATTATTGAAACAGTTCTGATTTGAAATATAAGCTGAACCAAAATATTCAGAGTCAATCCAAAAAATAATTTTGCAATCACAAATCTGATATAGATAGTATATTTATACTTTCCAATAGTGATGTTAAAAAATTGGATAAAGTATTTTTCGGTGTACTATAAGATGATACTCTATATTAGTTTGTGATACTGAACATTTTCCATATATACTCAAACTCAGCGTGTGAAAATGCTTATTTCATATGGCACTCCTATCTTAATAATATTAACATAGATCATGTTATTAATTTCCTAATTATAGCAGCCAGTATGATTACTTGAGTGGGATTGGGCATATGACTTATTGGATATGAAGTTAAATGTTTTATTTTTTATCTTTATATATCAGCCCCTGGCAACGTAGTTTCCTTCATCAAAGAAAATAAGATACATTTAACCTGGGATGATGTGAAAAATGCTTCATTGTCTGTTCAAATTAGAGTTCTTCATCATGGACAGGAATCAGGAACATATATTGGAAAAGATGGCAAATTCACTCTGAGCACGTTTCAACCAGCTTCAACATATTCATTTCAAGTTTGGACCAGAGACAAATTTGGTATCGATAGTGCTGTTGTCACTACCAATGAGGTCATTACTCGTAAGTACAGTTTATGAGCTGTGATTGTAATAGACTTTGTGATTTTGGATATATTAATTCTGAGAACTTTATTATGTCAATATAGTTTTGCTCCATCATTTATACTACCGAAGATAATTAAATTAAATTTAATACTCTTATAATAAATTCCTTATCTTAGGAACAATTAGAAATATTTTTATTCTGAAATTTTAATTTTGTGCATAGACATCTCACATCAAAAAACCTGAAATGAGCCTTTAATAACTTAATAAAAATGAAATCAAACACAATGAATATTATTTTTTTCAAGTTTTTGTTCTTGATTGGTCAAACTCTATGAATTGAAATTAAAAAATTTTATTTAATGACCTTGATCAAAGTTTGGATGTAATCGATATTTCATATTAAAAAAAATCTAGAATGTATTCCGAATTGTATTGTGTTCGCTTTTATACCAGTCGCCGGAACCTAAAAGGAAGCCAACTAGATCAGAATTTTAGAACTTTGGGTTTGAATTACAGATCAATTTCATAAAAATACTGGTCATGAGCTTTTGGTAAGATTACCTAAATAAATTTCTTTATCAGGAGTTCTTGACAAATTCATTGAGTTTTCAAATGTTTATTCGTCACTCACAGACCCCTCAAAACTATTTCTCGGACCCCAGTTTCAGAACCCTTGGTCTGTATAGAATAAATAAGTGATACTTAAAAATATCTAGAGTTATTATATATATTATTCAGGATAGAAATTTAAATCGAAATATTTTACATGAAGTTTCTAATGATCCATTTGTTTTTTGCTCATTTACTGCCTTTATGCAACTGTCATATTGTGTGAATGCATGCTGCCAGCCACACAGCAGCATATGAGCAAATTTGTGGTTCCAATTTCTATTTATCATTACCAAAGCTCCAAGCAAGAATCCACTCCGACAAATGTGCTATTATAAATTGAGTAATCGAATACTTATTGATCCAGCAATTTATTACTTCATTGTGAATAGATGTAGTTTATCCTATTAATTCCGACAATGCTATTTCAAGTATAACAATGGAACTAGTTAATTGGTAAGCAAAGAATTAGTCTGCAAAAATACTCAAAATATTTTTCAAATATTCTCTCAGCCAATCAAGCAGCCAATCTCGGAAGGGGTGAAGCTGGCATCAAAAGCTTACCAGGTAATCCTCTCCAGCTAAACATTCAAAACCCTTTCAATGAAAATATCTATGTATGATTTAATATGATCAGCATTTGCTGTAAAGTTGATGTATAATTGGCGTATTATTAAGAGCAACCACCAACATGCTGATAGCTATGCGGTAAAATAAATACCAGTGGTTGACATGAAATATGATATCTATTCTGCTTAACAATGACGAAAATGTTCTCTCACCACTTTGTGTTTTAAGTTAATTTATGCAAGGTACTAGTAATTGCTCATACACAATTTTTCATACATTTTTTTAAATTCGATCCTGCACATTAAGATCATGTTTGTATTGCAAAGTAGGTTATCTGTCATCTGTTTAAAATTACTCCAAAGCATTTCACTATTTCATAATAAATTTTTTTTTTTTATCTCAGAGACATACCTTGGCCAGAATATACATGTTTACCTTAATACACCTTTAAGAGAAGGTTACAATGTGTATGAAGGATATGTTGATTTTGGCTCATCTCGCAAAAAAGTTGCAGTTAAAGTGCTGGGAATACGAAGTCGTCAGCATGCTTATCGAGAACTTATTCACGCAATGGAACTGCGTCACAGAAACATTGTCGAATATATCAGATCTAGTTCATCTACAATGTCTACAGAGATGTACATTGCTATGGAACTGTGTATGGTAGAAACACTGCATGAAAAAGTTTTGAATAAAACTTTAAAAGATCTTAATATTGAATACAAAGATGTATTGTACCAAATATCATCTGGTATTGAATACATGCACAAAATGGGAACCTTACACAGGGATCTGAAGCCGCAAAACATTTTAATCTCTTTGGATGGAAAGACTATTAAATTATCAGACTTCGGTTTAACTAAGAAAATATCTCATAAAACCCAAGCCACAAAATCTTCACATTACATAGGAACACAGGGTTGGGCAGCACCTGAGCAATTTAATGCTGAAAGAAAAACATTGTCCACAAAAAGTGATATATATTCTGCTGGGTTAATATTTTATTTTGTTCTATCAGAAGGTGAACATCCTTATGGAAAAGATATGCGTAAATGTCAAATGGCTATGGTAGAGGGGGCAGAGTATGATATGTCTCATTTAAAAGGACCTGAAGTTATACTTGCTCAGGATATCATTTCAAAAATGATTGTATATAATTTAGACAATAGACCCAATGCAGAAGAGGTGCTTGACCATCCCTTTTTCTGGACGGTTTCTAAAAAGTTGTCATTTGTTTTTAATGTGGGTAATTGTCTGGGAAGAAGAAATTTAAACAATATATTGAATGCTAAGTGGATAAAAAATCATAGTGATTGCTGTAAGTGGAATGTAAATGATGCGATTCTTAAAAGAATTTTGCCCCCAAGCTATAGCACTCGTTACAAGTCCCATAAGGTTACTGATCTTGTACGCTTTATACGTAATACATATCTTCACAACAGAAATAACATTTTTAAATCCATGCCCCATCTTTATTCGTATTCTGAAGAACATTTCCCTCATCTTTTCATTTTTTTGTATAATGAATTCAAAGTTTTTGTCAGAGGGCCAATAGACCCAATGATACCATATTGTTTTAAAAAATTTTTTGATTTGTCATAAAGTTTACCGTACAAAAGATTTATGATAGTTGTCTTTGACTAATTTATATTTTTGATCAATTCAGTATTCATTAGCTGCAACTTTAAATAAGAGTAATTTTCGAAATGTTAGTCCACATGATATGGGTTGAAGGTTTATATGGATTTTTAAGCCTGGTAATAATTGATTTTAGTTTTTGGGAACTTTTTGGGGCAAAATTTGCAATTATAGCACATTTTGTACTTTTTTTGAAACAATGCAAATATTTTTAGATTATTGTTACAATGTTATATACTGTATTTTGAATTTTTATCACAATTTACTAGCATATTGGTCTATAGTTTGAATATTAATTGTGGAACGATTCATAGTCATAAATGAAACTACTTATGCACGTTATGTACTTTATTGAGACTCCTAAATTCTCTATAATCACTTTTTTATATTTTACAGTTATCTATAAGAATCTATTCAATATATCTATAAAAAATAGTACTAGTTAATTTATGCTGCCAAATTGACAATTTCTTGAAGAACAAGAGCAAAATAAAGTGAGTACCGTTTTATCGGGAAGGTGTTCAAATTTGCGCCTGAAACTCACTTGTCACTTGAAAAATAATAGATTTTTAACTGACCAACGATGACATGAACTACGACTGTGAGAAGTTTCGCAACTCTCTCATACACAATCATTCGCTATTGGATTTGAACCTGCAAACCCACACCGAGTAATCAGAAGCGCGATGGCAAGCAAATTCCTAATACTTGATGCATCTCCCACTATGCTTTTTTTTCTCTTAGAATATTTTTATTTTTTACATATCCTTTTAAAAATGAAGCATATTATTGAGTGTAACCAACTCTGACTCATATAGAACATAACAATAGAATTACTTGAAATCAGACTAGAGAGATGAGGTCTAGCATTTACTATACAAGCATGCTCTAGTTCTCTCACCATTTCTTTTCAATCTTTTATTTTAGATATGGATATTCAAATACAATCAATTGAACCTGATTGTGGAGGATTTAAAGTAGTTTGGAAAAAAATGCAAAAATCAAACCAATATATAAAATCCAGGTATATTCTAGAGAAGATCCAGTTGGTACAGAGTACAAGGTTCATGGTTGTCAGTTTCTGTGGAAAGGAAAAAAAAGGAAAAAACTCTAAAATGGGAAATTACTGAAAGATTATATTTTAGTAACAATCCAAAACTTAAAATTCGAAGAAAAATAATCCCTGGACAAACGAAAGTCGGGATTCCATTAAGCCCGATTAATCATGATATATTTACAGTAAAATTCCATTGGTTTATTTTTGCACATTTAAAGAAACAAAAATACAATCTAGGCTTTTCATTAGCTGAATCTCTATGTCAAGATTCAGTTAATACGAAAATGATATCAGAAAATTTCAAAATCCTCTTATCCTTCAATACTTTTGTCGCTAAACTCAATGACAACATCAAGTTTTATATTGCTTGTCCCACACATAAACGCAGAAAAAGAATTTCCACATTTCGCATAGATCAACTCCTTACAAAACATAAATCGCCCATGTTCCCATTTTTATTGCCTTGTCATAAAGAGTGCAAACAGACCGAATGGAATTGTCAGCTAGTAAAAAGCAGCATAGCAAGTGATGCCAATGCAGGTACAGTAAATTAATTTGGCTTATTGTTAAGTAATTGGCAACATTTGACAATCCACATAATACTTCCTTTCGCTCATTTTATAAGTCTAAGTTTATTTTGACTCCGTAATCAACATACGGTAACAGACGATAACATAATTGATAAAAATAAATAGTTTCATTTGTTACACAATATCCATCAATTATTTTATCGCATTGGTGTTTCAATATGTTGGAATTAAATATAAATAACATTAATAAAATCTGATTTTCATAAATGTTTGCTTTATAAGCAGAATTTTTTTTTAGAACTAGGAGTAGATGATGATATTCTCGTGAATATACCTTCCGATTCTGTGTTTGGAATAGTCTCTAAAGCATGGCGTAATGTTATATGTAAGTATTAAATTTTTGATTTTTGTGGGATAAGTGAGAATATGGAAATATTTTTGATACTCACACTAGAGCAGGGTTTCTCAACCTGGGGTTCGCGAACCCTCAGGGGTTCACAGAATGATTTCTAAGGTTACTTGGATGGCGGTCGAGTTTTCATGTGTTGCTGTTTTTTTAATACTGTTTACTACAAGAGGAAATTATGTGCCGAGTGACACTCAGCATAAATTTTCCCTCATTCTATGTTGTTGCATTGCGCCAATATGAAACCCATGGCTCTGCAGCCAAACTATGAAATCTCAAAAGACAATGTGCTCTTTGCCTTTCTAAAACCGCTCCTTGAATTGGGAAACTTATTTGCAATACACACTAACGTCTTGTATGAATGAAATAAATAATTTGATTAAATATTCTTCACAATACTATTTTAAAATTGTTAGGCAATATATTAAAATTTTATATAGTGTCCGATTACTGGGGGTTCGGGTTGTTTCTTGACTCGGAGGTACTTGACAGAAAATACGCTGAGAACCCTTGAACTAGAGAATAAAAGGATAAGCAGTGCCATAAGAAACATAAGTAATATTGAATATGTCTATTCCTAAAAATGTCATACAAATTCTATTTTTGAAGTTTTTTACAGATTGTATAAAATCATCTATTATAAAGTGGGTGAATAATGTCAAGTTCATTAATTTATTGTAGATGAGAAAAAGCCTTCTACTCATCACATTAATGAACTCTGCCATCACCCATTCGTTGCAGAGAACAGGGAGCATACATGGGGTTTACAATGGTAAGTATGGTTTTGGACAAATTAATGGTTATTGTCTTTCCGAGAGATTTCTTTTGTGTCGGTTTCCCTCTTCCCAACTTGAGATTTTACTGTATAAAACATGTGTTCAAACATCAGCAATCCTCTCGCACATAATCAACCCTTTAGCACGATGTGCCACATCGTCAAGCCAAATAAAACAATGTATATAACTGCTTCTTTGTTTTAGATGAAAATGAATTGTTAGCTGCATCTGGTAAAATATATGAAGACATAATTCATGTGCAATGGCAGCCAGATGATACTAATTTTCACAGATATTATAGATCCGATTAGATAGCAATCAGTATTTGTTTAAAAATGATATTTATGTGTGCTTTTATTTTCCAGATTCAGTGAAAAACGATACAATGAAAGTTGTAGCTAAATCGTCCAATAACTCGATTCTTGTAACGTGGCCAAATACCCAAATGGTAAAATTCTATCGAGTCCAAGTTTATGGTGACGATTACCCAGAAGATATTTTTTCAACAACTTCACGTGTGTTCCAGTTTATGGATGTTCAGCCATCAAAATTATATTACTTTAAAGTTCAAGCATTTCAAACCACCCCCATTAAGAATGAAGTCATTAAATGTGGCCTGTCAAATTGTGTGCTTCTTAACACAGGTACGATAATTATGAAAATGCCAATTAAGGGTATTGTTATTATTACATAAGTTTGTTTTGTTCTTTCGATTCTGTAAGATAGCTACAAGTTATTATGTAGAATAATTCTTTAGATAATTAGAAATATAACCATATCTCATATATTCAAACTAAGGTAGGCAAAGCACAAATACTCTGAAAATAGAAAATCACATCAATTTTTCTGTTATTAAGCTTACTGAAGTTTCAAGCCAGGTTTAAGAACATTAAACTGCTGTTTTCATTTTAATAAGATATTATTAATTTTATTTTATTCAAAAAAATTCCGGAAGTATAAATATATCAATAAATTTCAATTCTACACATGAAGCTACAATGTAAATAGATAAAAAAAAAACTTTCTATTTCAATGGCCTAGTTATTTTATTACACTGGTGAATGGCTCTGAATAATGCTTAACATACATAGTAATATCGAATTGCCAAACACTAGGGCTAGGCTGTTGGTTGTTTGGCAACCAAACTTTACAAGAAACATAGATAAACTCAAATTTAGTTTTATTATTGTGACTTTGGGAAAATATTAATTTTCATGAACATCCACTGAATGTTTTTGATACTTGATATTTTTTCAGACTCTGATAATTTTCAAGAAGTTTCAGTCATTGAAGGAGACTTTTTCCTCATCTGGAATCCACAAGAAAACCTCGATCAGGATTACATTGTATCAGTCTTCTACACAGATATGCTATTTCATAAGATACAAACGTCATCGCCTGCTGCAAGATATACTCCGCATCAACCATCCGTGGAATATTTTTTCAAGGTTCAATCTGGTGATTTCGAGGTCTTTTCACAGAATGTGACATCAGGTAATATTTTGAATCCAATCTCTATAAAATATTTCACATTTTTCGCTTTTGGTTTGCAAGCTTATCTGCAAATGTTATCGGTAGGGCTGGGAATGGTTAATGGGTTGATCGGTTAACTGACTTTAGATGGGTAACGGTTATGATTTATTTCAACCGTTTACTGACATCTCAGGTACAGATCATCTTTATAATGTACAATTTTTTCAAAAATGATTACGTCATTGCAAATTTATTTTCTGTGGCGTTTTAAGTTAGAAGAATATCAATAAGTTGAAAAATAATTGAAGTACCAAGATTGCTGATTATGAAAATTGGACAATGATAATTTCAGAAACAGTTTTCGGTTGAAGTATATTGTTAAAGATTTTATTGCAAAATCGCATATTTAATGTCATCCAACAAGTGCGCAGTTGATGCTTTTTTTATGATATCTCAAAGTGGAATTTCAAATCGAACACTGAAAATTTGTCACATAAATGAAATTTATTAATGGAATCGGGTTTTACTAAAATACTTCCATGTGTCCTAACCACACTGCATATATATCTCTTGTAGCAGAGCGATCATTAAACTATCTTGATTCGTCAATAATTTTGAGCGATACAGGTATAAGATCACGTTAAATTGCTTTGTAACCATTGTGATGCAACAAGCTGAAATTATAAATTAATACGTGAAACGTAACGCTGCGGTTAACCGGTTAATTTAACCCGAATAGAGGTTAAAGTGTTTTCCCTGAAATAACCAGCCCTAGTTATCTGGGAGTTATTTCATTAATTCTATAGTTTCTCGTTGGTTGTATCGGTATCGCGCAACACTATTCTCAAATTACATTGTCCATTGTTCTCTGCACAAGCGCTATTCGAAAACTTTTGTTGTTTTACAAAGCATACTGTTATGTGAGGACTTACAGACATGCTTCGTTTGAAATGAAAGTATAGTATAATTCAGGCTCTAAGAGGGTAAAACTATTCAAAAATTGTTCATCCAATTTGACATTAGCAAGGTGACCGACCGACCCCCCTGAAAAATTTTTGAAATTTATAGTTCAATTAAATTGTAGGTTTAGGGTTACGCAATAATTCCGGGTACAAATTCTTCCGCAGTCACTCTGCTAGTACCCGAATTCGTTATAGAACTGAAATAAAGAATACGAAAATAAAGTTATGGCCTAACCTTAACCTGGTATAAATACTACGTTCTGGTGTCTGTTCCATCTTGGTTCACATAC